GTCTGGGGGTCTTTTATCGATACAACACTCCAGACATATCCAGACATGGGGAACATCATGATTGGCAAATGGATCTATTGTTGGATAAACCATGATAAACCCATATGTGCTATGGTCCAACATTAGGGAACCCTTGCACTGGGATGTATATCAGGCCCTTTCCATGCTCGGATGACCATTTCCTTTTACATGATTTTACATGTGCATATTTAAGCAAAGGGCCAACAAACCCATGTTTGACCATGGCACATCTTAGAAAAGGTATACCACGGATCGTCGGATCTCCCAACGGGCCAGTGGGAGAGTTTCATATGGGACCAACATGATGAAACTCTGGGAAGATTTATAGGGGTCAACAAAAATGCCTTAAGAATCCTTAAGAGCGTTTTGCGGGATGTGAAACACGCGATATTTTTCCGAACTATAATTCCTGGTGTCCAACATTTGTGTATGTTCTTGACATACCACTGTAAAAGTGATGGTATCTGCAGCCATTAACCAAAATGGATGTGGGTCAAGAAAAAAAATGTGGTCAAAATTTGTACGACATGTTCCCATTTTGGTCTTGGATAATTATGTGCCATTTCAAGGATTGCTCCTATATAGTTCTACCCTCCTTTGTCCTCAAACGTGGCTGGCTCGGAAATCCCTGACCAAATGTTGTTTTTAACAGGAGAATCATCGAACTAAATGGGTGGCGTTCCAGTAAAACATGTTTGATTATCAGAGGGTAAATCCTATTAATGTTCCAATCAAAACTGCATCTATCCCATTAATATCCCAATAATATTGCCACTAATATCCCAATAAATCACTATAGAATTATTGTTGCTTGATTTCACCATAGAAAACTTAGATTTCACCCTATAATATTGGTTGGTTATATCCCATTAGTATCCCACTATAGAATCACTATAGAAAACTGTTGGGAAACTGAACTGGAGGTGTCACCGTTTCCCCCCTCAAAAAAAACACGATTTGGCCTCGATTTGGATTCATCCTTTTTGGTGACAAAGCCAGTCATCCCCAATCAATCACATCCCCGTATATTATCCTTAGATATCGTATATGATTATACATGTATTATATATATATATATATTTATATATATACATATTTATTTATGCGTAATTATCTATCTATATCCGCCGACCCCGGCCTTTGCCAAGGCAGGGGCGGCGCCTGGGACCACCGGAGGTGTGGAACTTCGCTCTCTGGTCGCAAGCAACGCACACGCCTTTCCAAGGCAACAACTCTGTCAGCTACATGCCCCAGCCATCTCCATGCCCCTGCATGCCGCAGCCCTCTCCATGCCCCTGCCATCTGTTTTTCAGGGAGTTCAAGACTGTCTCTGGTCGCAAGCAAAGGTGTCAGCTACATGCCCCAGCCATCTACATGCTCCAAGGCAACAACTCTGTCAGCTACATGCCCCAGCCATCTCCATGCCCCTGCATGCCCCAGCCATCTCCATGCCCCTGCCATCTATTTTTCAGGGAGTTCAAGACTGTCTCTGGTCGCAAGCAAAGGCACACGCCTCCAACACAACAACTCTGTCAGCTACATTGCAGCTACATGCCCCAGCCATCTACATGCCCCTACCATCTGTCTTTCACGGGGTTCAAGACTGCCGTTTGCCCGGCTTCAAACCCTCAAAGCACCCCAAACCCTCCAAACGCTTCCGCAGGCCTTTCCAAGGCAACAACTCTTACAGCTACATGCCCCTGCCATCTGTTTTTCACGGGGTTCAAGACTGCCGTTTGCCCGGCTTCAAACCCTCAAACCCTTCAAACCCTTCCGCAGGCCTTTCCAAGGCAACAACTCTTACAGCTACATGCCCCTACCATCTGTTTTTCACGGGGTTCAAGACTGCCGTTTGCCCGGCTTCAAACCCTTCAAACGCTTCCGCAGGTCTTTCCAAGTTAACAACTCTTACAGCTACATGCCCCTGCCATCTGTCTTTCACGGGGTTCAAGACTGCCGTTTGCCCGGCTTCAAACCCTCAAACCCTTCAAACCCTTCCGCAGGCCTTTCCAAGGCAACAACTCTTGCAGCTACATGCCCCTGCCATCTGTTTTTCACGGGGTTCAAGACTGCCATTTGCCCGGCTTCAAACCCTCAAAACCCCCCAAACCCTCCAAACGCTTGCGCAGGCCTTTCCAAGGCAACAACTCTTACAGCTACATGCCCCTGCCATCTGTCTTTGAGTCTTTCACGGGGTTCAAGACTGCCGTTTGCCCGCCTTCAAGCCCTCAAAACCCTCAAAACCCTCAAAACCCTCCAAACGCTTCCGCAGGTCTTTCCAAGTTAACAACTCTTACAGCTACATGCCCCTGCCATCTGTCTTTCACGGTGTTCAAGACTGCCGTTTGCCCGGCTTCAAACCCTCAAAATCCTCAAAACCCTCCAAACGCTTCCGCAGGCCTTTCCAAGGCAACAACTCTTACAGCTACATGCCCCTGCCATCTGTCTTTCACGGGGTTCAAGACTGCCGTTTGCCCGGCTTCAAACCCTCAAAACCCTCAAAACCCTCCAAACGCTTCCGCAGGCCTTTCCAAGGCAACAACTCTTACAGCTACATGCCCCTGCCATCTGTTTTTCAGGGGGTTCAAGACTGCCGTTTGCCCGCCTTCAAGCCCTCAAAACCCTTCAAACCCTTCCGCAAGCCTTTCCAAGGCAACAACTCTTACAGCTACATGCCCCTGCCATCTGTTTTTCACGGGGTTCAAGACTGCCGTTTGCCCGGCTTCAAACCCTCCAAACCCTTCAAACGCTTCCGCAGGCCTTTCCAAGGCAACAACTCTTACAGCTACATGCCCCTGCCATCTGTTTTTCACGGGGTTCAAGACTGCCGTTGGCCCGCCCTCAAACCCTCCAAACCCTTCAAACCCTTCCGCAGGCCTTTCCAAGGCAACAACTCTTACAGCTACATGCCCATGCCATCTGTTTTTCACGGGGTTCAAGACTGCCGTTTGCCCGGCTTCAAACCCTCAAACCCTTCAAACCCTTCCGCAGGCCTTTCCAAGGCAACAACTCTTAGAGCTACATGCCCCTGCCATCTGTCTTTCACGGTGTTCAAGACTGCCGTTTGCCCGGCTTCAAACCCTCAAAATCCTCAAAACCCTCCAAACGCTTCCGCAGGCCTTTCCAAGGCAACAACTCTTACAGCTACATGCCCCTGCCATCTGTTTTTCAGGGGGTTCAAGACTGCCGTTGGCCCGGCCTCAAACCCTCCAAACCCTTCAAACCCTTCCGCAAGCCTTTCCAAGGCAACACCTCTTACAGCTACATGCCCCTGCCATCTGTTTTTCACGGGGTTCAAGACTGCCGTTTGCCCGGCTTCAAACCCTCAAACCCTTCAAACCCTTCCGCAGGCCTTTCCAAGGCAACAACTCTTACAGCTACATGCCCCTGCCATCTGTTTTTCACGGGGTTCAAGACTGCCATTTGCCCGGCTTCAAACCCTCAAAACCCCCCAAACCCTCCAAACGCTTCCGCAGGCCTTTCCAAGGCAACAACTCTTACAGCTACATGCCCTTGCCATCTGTCTTTGAGTCTTTCACGGGGTTCAAGACTGTCGTTTGCCCGCCTTCAAGCCCTCAAAACCCTCAAAACCCTCCAAACGCTTCCGCAGGCCTTTCCAAGCCCTGCACTAAACCCAACAAGATGGAGTGTGCGGTTTATAGGTCTCCATTGCGTATCTATTGGATGTTACCACTGCCAAATTTTCGGTGAGAATCAAAAGAAACAGAAAGCCATCGCCATTACCGAAAAAAAGCGGTTCTACCCGGGGTCACGCATTTTTGTGGGAAAACCATACCTTCGGGTTGTGCCATCTATAGGTTACGCTTGCAATCCATGTGTAAAGGGAAAGAGAAAGGAGGAGGGAAAGGAGAAAGGAGAAAGGAGAAAAGGAAAGGAGGAAGGGAAAGGAGAAAGGAGAAAAGGAAAGGACGAAGGGAAAGGAGAAAGGGAAAGGAGAAAGGGAAAAGAGAAAGGGAAAAGGACAGGGAAAGGGAAAGAAGAAGGGGAAGGAGAAAAGAGAAAGGAGAAGGGAAAGGGAAAAAAGACAGGAGAAAGGGAAAGGGAAAGGAGAAGACGAGAAAGGCGAAGAGAAGAAGAGGAGAAGAGAAGAAGGGGAAAGATAAGAAAGAGGAGAAGAGGGAAGGGAAAAAGAAAGGGAAAGGCAAAAGGAGAGGGAAAGGAGAAAGGAGAAAGGGGAAGGAGAAAGGGGAAAGGAGGAGGGCAAGGAGAAAGGAGAACGGACAAAAAGGAAATGGGAAGGGAGAAAGTGAAAGGGAAAAGAGAAAGAAGAAGGGGAAATGAGAGAAGGAAAAGGGAAAAGGAAAGGGAAGGGGAAAGGGGGAAGGGAATGAGAATGAGAAAGGGCAAGGAGAAAGGAGAAAGGGGAAATGGGGAAAGAAGAAAGGGAAGGGGAAGGGAAAGGAGAATGGGAAAGGAGAAAGGGCAAGGACAAAGGGAAAGGAGAAATGGAAAGGGACAGTGAAAGGAGGAGGGAAAGATATCAGGGATTTCCGTGTCTGTTCATTGAATGTTGTTTTCATGCATACTTTTGGTGCGCCTTTTCCTTGCGAAGACTACGTCTTACGCAAGGGAGGCAAGACACACCATCCCCAAAATATGAAAACAACATTCCATGAACAGACACGGAAATCCCTGATATCAATACATTTGATTCATTGTCCCACAATCTATGTTTACACTACCTAGACCTTCAAAAGTTCTATAATATTTGTACGTTTGGACTACTGCACGTGTGGGCCGTTTTGACCGTTCCCCGCCGCTCCGCCCTTGAAAGGGGGTCGGCGGCACCAGGGCATTAGCCCATTTATATATTAAATATATATATATATATAATATATATATACTATACATGAACATTAAAAAAAAACTTATCAGATAGCCCTATCAATCATGTTTGTTGGCTACAAATAAATCCATATGGCCTTTTTCGGGTTGATCAATCCATGGTTCATCCAACTTCAAAAAACGTCGTCGCCCAGCAACTCCACAGCTGCTTTGGCCGCTGCCTGGCAACTGAATTTTCTGGGGATTTCCACAATTTTTGATTTTCGAATCCAATATAATGGGTGGTTCTCAAAAATTTAAAGAATGTTTACTGTACATTATATAATTCACTGTTATAATTTATATATTTGATCATGCATAATAATTACCAATGCAACGTAACCTATATGAATCACATGAAACATGAGATTCTGGGGCACCCTATCTTCAGGCAAAGCCGCTTCAAAGTGGCGCACACACCCCAGCCCACCTGGGCGCCTGAGCACTTTTGGTTTTGATCTTTTGCCCGTGTCGCACGTGTCACCACTGAGTTGAAGCCAAAGGCACACTGTTTCGAAACCTCTCACATTAAATTTGGGTCACATGCAATTCTGAAATCCATAATTCATTTCATTTCATTTCCAACATGTCCGGCCTTTTCATCAGCCTGCGTGCAATTTCAACAGATTCAGCAATTTTTGGAGCCGACCTTTGGTCAATGGTTCCTGCTCCAAGTTTGTCTGAATTGGCGTCGGCAGAGTCTGTGAACTTTCATCTGATCGGAGTACTTCGGGAAGGCACTGCCTTAGCCACAAATCAACAAAATACCACGGCAACACAACTCGCTGCTACCGATAAGTGTCAAGTCACTGGGGTTCAACTGGACCGACAATATTATATTATTAGTCATTCTGAAACACATTCATTTACCCTCTGGTTATGACTAACATCGCCATGGTATAGATGGCCCATTGAAATAGATGGTTTACCTATTAAAACACTGTTTGGATCTGTTGTGGGTATACAAATAGCTTTGACCCATGCTCACCTGGAAACAAAAAATCAAGGAAGCCTCGGAGATTAACGAACGCAGGCGAAAGCCGTTGTTGTGGCACACTGAACCCCAACACTACAAAAATCAAAATGTCATTTTAGTAGTGCATTCTGAATTATCCCAATTAGAGCTGTTTGGAATTATCTCTGGCGCGCGCTCTTCAATATATTCCCTTTCTTCAGGTGGTTTTTTGTTGGTTCTGCAATATCAAAACAAGCACCTGTGGGCATATGCGTGTTTCCAACCCAAACAACAAAAATAGCTGCGAGAGTTGAATGTTGGTCCCCAAAACTATGGTATCATAGTTTTGAATACGTTTTGATCCATACCCGTATTTAAAACCCGCAAAGTGTGGTTAAACACTGGGCTAACTTTGTTCAAGCTACTTCAAGACTTCTCTAGCAGTTGGGTGGCCAGAGAGGCGTATGTAGCAGCAAATCACTTGATGGAATACGCGACCGGATGGGGCTTCTAGAAGAACATCCACCATCTTCGCAAGGACTCTGGCAACTGCATAGAACCTCTCTGCTGTGTGACAAACATAATTCAGGCCCTTTTGATTGAGTAGCAACCTCGATGTAAGTTGCACAAGTCTTCGCCACATCATTGCCCTTCTCCATGATACGAAGGCACAAAGGAATAATCTCAGTCTGCACAAGGAAGGACGCCACCTCATTGTCATCAACCTGGACCAAACGATCGAACACATTCAGAGTATTGATTCGGAGAAGCTCGTAAGGTCTGCCTGGTCTGGCAGCGTTCAAGAACGGATAGAGCAGGGAAGGAAGCTGCGCCTGCAGGAATAAATGCTTGGTGTCCTCATGGGAAACCAGCCTCTGCATCAATCTAAGAGAATGGCAGACACGATTCGAGTCATTGGCTGTGAATGCTGCGGACTTCAGTTTGGGGTAGACTTTTACAATCTCTGAAAGCAGAACAGTCATGATGCCCGACGAGCACCAAAGCATCGGAGCCAGATCCGGAAGCGTCTCCTGTTGTCTTAAAGGGTGGGAGAGACTGGACAGAGCAGCCGCACGTGAGTCATTGTGCTGATCTTCATTTCCGTAGAGGATATCACCTATGTAGGTCCATAGCGTCGCATCATCAATTACGATGTTCTGACCAGCTGCAACATTCATGGCCAAAATCAAACTCTCCAGGCCTTTTACCCTGGCCTTGCACCGATTTCCAGGCTGGGCATTGGATCATCTTGGGCCCAAAAGTTGTGTGAACCTGGACCTGTGACCTCCACCCTCCCTGAAACTTCTTTCGCTGCGGTCTGTAATTCCCTGAAACCAATGAACTCTTCCCGTGAGTTCCGAGAAAGTAATGCCTTCAAGCTTTTAAATCATATAATCTGATTGACTCATTCCTGACACTATAATCACTATATTGACTTGTCATCTCATCTGCAGCAGAGCTGAGGAATGTTCCGCATGGTCGATCTCCGCTTTTGTTTGGCCATTTGCTGGCCTATTCTTCAAACTGGGAACAACAGCCACATGCCATGACATTTGTAAACTCTAATTAGCGAAAGCCCAGCTGTTGCTAATATGATATAGATATAGAATGACAATATATCAATATGATTTAATTTATATAATATGTCCTGTAAGTCTCGTCGATTAGATCCCAATTGTTGTTGTTCAAATCACATCCTAAAAGTGTTCCTTACTAAGTCAAATTAATTACGTATGGCTATCCCATGTAAAAAAAAAAGTTTATTCACACGGGTTATGAAATGCTATTGGCCCGGACCAGACTTCCCCACGATGGTTCTTTCCCACTATCGTCTTCAATATCCTATGGCTGTCGCATCAAATAACTGCTATGAATGTGGATGTCCGTAAACCAACTCATATGTGCTGTGGTCAAAACATGGTACGTACCCCAGAGTCCCCCCACCATAATGAGGGAAGCTAAACATATTGCAACCTTAACCAGAATGACAATGGATTGATGACAATACCCGAACTCAACTTATGAGCACATAACCTATGTAATTTGACCATGGCAGGTAGAGAAACTCCTACATCCCAATACCCGGACCTAGACCCATAACATGACCAATGCCTGGTGATGTAAACGTAAACTGAGGAGCATGACTTATTCATCATCTCAAATAGAACTATTAAAAAAAATGGTTGGTGGTTTCAACCCAGAAGAAAACTATGTTCGTCATCGGGGATCATCATCCCAAATATGCGTGGAAAACAGAATCTGAATCTGAAACCACCACCAAAAATCATAACAATGATCAGAAGAAACAATAAGAAATATGCGAAGTAATAAACAACATGTAGATTGGGAGAGAAAAAAAAACAAACTCCTATCGTATCATGTTCTATCTTCCAGTGTGCTACTACTCAATGGATTGGTTTGAGGGAAAAACTATAGGAAACCCCAATTTTTCTGGCGAAAACCATGGGAAAACCAGTCAAGATGTTCCCTTCAACCAATCCAGTGACCAGGAAACCACCAGTCTGCACCTGAGCTTCAGGACTAGTGCCTGGCGCACGGGATCACGGCGCCCAAGGGAGATGGATGATTCATATGGATAATATGGAGAAGGTATGATCATATGGATAAGATCTTAATATGATAACGGATCATTTGGATAATGGATATGGATAACTGATGATAACTGGATAACTTAATCTTGGATATTGATAATCTCCAAATTTACCAACTATGGGTTTATAAATGGAGAACCAATATATTGTCAAGAATTATTATGAGGATTGATGATTTCTAATTTGGTTAATGATTATGTCAAAGATCCCCAAGCACGAAAAAACTTAGTTTCAGGTTTCAGGAATGCCGGGACGTTGTTTTGTGAGTCCATCGTTTCAAAAAGCCACAATGAATCTATTTGCAAATATGTAACCATAGTTTTTTCTTTGGTTGGTTGATCATACACGAAGGTCTAGGGGTTCTACTAAACTAGCCATCCAGTTGGTTGACCCAAATACCCTGCGGTAATCACAGCAGCAAGTGGACATCCCCCAGCTGAGTTCGATTATTTTCCATACCCATAGGATCCATGGTGCTGCTACATATGGCAACATGGATCCCATCAATATACCCCCTTTATGTTAGCATATATATATATATATACCAGCACCATGGATCCTATGGGATATGCAATCCCCATGAATATTCCATCCATTAATCATCTTCAAAGTTCATATTCCATACGGTGCTTCAGCTCACTTAGTGGGTTATAATCCTCTTCATAAGTGGAGGATTCACCCTAGCGCCAGTGAAATAACTGGGGGTAGTTCACTACCCCACGGAGCCGAAAAGTGAGTGCAGTGAACCACCAAGTAGTTACCCTCTGGTAAATTGTCACATAACTATGGAAAGATCCACCATGTTATTAATGGGTAAATCCCAATATTTCGACTGGGCCATTTCCAATAGCAAACTGTAACAAATTAGCAGAGGCTAGTTTCCACTCAAAATGGGTGTAATTTGTTTCGTCGGTTCCACCTGCAGCACTCAGAGCACTTCTTGTGAGTTGTTGCAGGGCCTGTCGGAACAAATAAAAAGTTATGTATCCCTTCCAAGATCTTGTTCTTATTGGTTGGTTGATAACGGTTAATATCGATATATGTTATTTGATACTGGAAATATCTGGAATTGGGTAGAACATCTTGTAGCTAATTACTAGTTGATATTGCAAAGACCCGTGTTGTATTAAATTGGTTGGATAATAGGTATGTATTCATACTAATTTTGGTGGCAATCCCTCTTGAGCCAGGTAGTATAACCAAATATAACCACCTATCATGGCCGACACTTGTGCATAGTTATACCCAAATAGCAGGGCAGAATATCGGATTATAGACAGCTTGCGGGTTGTGTATATATATATATAAATGCGATGATATGGGAGTTTATGGAAAAACATTTACAGTACATGGGATTGTAGTATGGGAGGATATAGGATGAATGTAAATCAGGAACACAGATTCATTCGATTGATGTGTATGTATATATATATGTATAACATTGTATAACGATTTTTTCTACAAAAAAATAATGATTTTGGATATTGGGTTTCTTGTAGATTTCCGAAACAGATAAAGTCTCGGATTGTCCAGACTCTGTTGGGAAACCTTCCCGCCAAAGATTCCGAAACAAGGCTGAAAAAAAGGTATCGATTCCTCCCCTGTTCACCATAATTCATATGAGTGATCCTCCTACAAAATACAGGATCCTTTCCCTTCCCTTTCCCATGGCCGATATTAAACACTCTACGTTTCCTTTTCCGGATCGAAAATTTCATCAAAATAGCAAAAACATTTGGTATACAAATAATGACAAATATATACTTCAAAATACCTATCCAGTTCTTTGACCTAGTATATGTATCATATGTATCAACCCCCACTCCCCACTCCCCACCCATTTTCCCGTTACCGGGGCCCCCAACCGCCCCACGGTAGCTCCCGGCGCCGGGACCAGTTCGGTGGCCATGCTCCGGCTCAGGCGGCGGAGGGGGCGGCTCCTGGACTTGGATGGAAAAAGTCTCTTTTTTCATGGGAAATCTGGGATTTTCATAGGAGAAAATCTGCGATGTTTCGATTCAGCATTTATTCCCCACCTCCCAGGTGAGGGTTGTTAGATTTTATCAGAGTTGTTCTCCTCCTTCTCCTCCTCCTCGGCTAGCTCGTCCTCCTGCTCCTCCTCCTCCGCCTCCTCCTCCAGTTTCTCCTCGACCATGTCTGCGTCAACTTCCACCTCCACTTCCGCCTTGCCAACTCTTCGCCAAGCTCTTCGCCAACTTCCGAGCTCAGTCTGCTGGACCTCAACCTGGGACCTTCCCAGCTCAGTGGGCACCGCTGGACCTCAACCTGGGACCTGCCCAGCTCAGTGTGCACCGCTGGACCTCAACCTGGGACCTTCCCAGCTCAGTGTGCACCGCTGGACCTCAACCTGCGACCTTCTGAGGTCAGTGTGCACCGCTGGACCTCAACCTGGGACCTGCCCAGCTCAGTGTGCACCGCTGGACCTCAACGGCCAGATAGAATGCCAGAATATATGCCAGATAGAAAGCTATAAGATATGCCAGGTAGAATGCCAGAAGATGTGCCAGATAGAATGCCAGAAGATATGCCAGATAGAATGCCAGAAGGTATGCCAGATCGAATGCCAGATAAAATGTCAGACGGAATGCCAGAAGATATACCAGATAAAGTGCCAGAATGTTTGCCAGATAGAATGCCAGAAGATATGCCAGATAAAATGCCAGAAGGTATGCCAGATAGAATGCCAGATAGAATGCCGGAAGATATGCCAGGTAGAATGCCGGAAGATATGTCAGAATATATGCCAGAAGGTATGCCAGATAAAGTGCCGGAATGTTTGCCAGATAGAATGCCAGAAAATTTGCCAGATAATATGCCAGAAGATATGCCAGATAGAATGCCAGAAGATATGCCAGAAGATATGCCAGGTAGAATGCCAGAAGATATGCCAGATAGAATGCCAGAAGATATGCCAGATAAAATGCCAGAAGGTATGCCAGATAGAATGTCAAATAAAATGTCAGATAGAATGCCAGAAGATTTGCCAGTAACAAAATGTATAAATGTCATGGTGGGGATCACACGAAGTAAAGTAATTCAATGGGAATTTCAAAATCCTAGAGTGGACGTACTGTACCATATCAGGTCATATTTTGTGGGGATATTCCTTTACATAGGCCTTATATAGGCCTTATATATGGTAGGTACCTCCAATTTGGGTTCCTGAAATGGCCATTGATTTATGGGTATAAAATAAAGGTATAAAGTATAAAGTTGATGAATCCCATGGCTTGAGCGTTTTGACTAATAGAACTTGTTTTTCCCGAATGCGTAGCGAAGGGTTCTTGTTTTGATGGGGAAAAAATGTGTAAGTAATCAGCCACAAAAGGATCATCCAATATAATGGACATGTTGAACCAACCAACATTGAGATATAATAGGATATATAGAGTAAACGGATGAAACCAACTTTGAGGATAGCTATCAGTTGTTAGTGATTCTAAGTAATCATTCCTGTTGGTTCTTGGTATTGGAAGTGGAAAGGGTCAACCGATCAGAAAAATATGAAAATTGCATGGATGGATGGAAAATCTACAGGAAGCCATGGTTGTTTGGCCCCAAATATATCATTTACTGTCCTGTTACCAACAACACTGAGAATGGAACCCCCAACATATATGTCCATACAGTTTCACCATGTTTCACCATTATATAATCATATGTCATAGGCATACGGGACTGATGCCTGTGTGCACCTGAAAGTAGCTACTTTGGCAATAGTTCCCCCTAACCGGTCAGGTCATTTCAGGTTGTGAATACCATTGCCCCACAGCACCAACTGTTTATTGCTGGGAAAGCCAGTTGATGACAAAATTGGTTGATCGACGATAGATATGCATAGGTCAAATGCGCTTTCCAACATATGTACTGCATACGTGTGGTCGCACCATGGGATTCACAAAAAAACGATGGTCATCATCCGATTCATCTGCAATGGAAATACTCACACATATAATATAATATATACCCTCTAGTAAACTAACATAACTATTATGGAAAATCAACATTTTTAATGGGAAAACTCACTATAAATCACCATTTTCAATAGCTATGTTAAATTACCAGAGGATACATTTTATAATTGGTATAAATCCCTCTGAAAATGGACTGATGGCTTAGTCTCCAACTTTTGACCATGGCAATCTGCCTGGTAATGGGAAGAAGCCACATCGAAGGTAGGCCCCCCGATCTAAGTTGATTATAATCCCTATGAACTATAGATCTAGCTGAAATCCACAAGATATACAATGTATATAGCTAAGTTGATTTATAAGTATAGGTTAAATGCAAACCTACTTTGAAATCGACTTAGTTATAATTGGTTTTGCTTAAGATGGCCCCTAAAAAAATGCGAGCTCCGATCGCAGCTCCCTCCACCACTAGAGGGTGTCTAAGATATCCCTAAGCCTAAAGATATCCCCAAGATATCCCCAAGATACCCTCCAGTAACCGAACATAGCTATGGAGAATCCCCACTTGTAGGTGATTGAGCTATGAAATGATGGTGATTTTTCATAGCTATATGATTAGTTTACCAGAGAGAGTATCCCGAACATATCCCCAAGATATCCCTAAAACCCAATATATCCCTAAGATATCCCTAAGATATCCCTAAAACCCAAGATATCCCTAAGATATCCCTAAGATACCCCTAAGATATCCCTACAACCCAAGATATCCCTACAGATATCCCGAAAATATCACAAGAATATCCCCAAGATATCCCCAAAACCTAATCCCTAAAGCTATCCTACAGCTATCCTTACAGACATCCCAAAAAAACGGACAGTTCTTCGTTGCTCCTGATGGGGCGCCCCAAAGGACCGGCTCGGCACGGCTGCAGGTGGCATTTCCGCAGGGGGCCCGGGAGGCTTCTCCTCCAGGGCACTTTTTTTCGCCCAGAAAATGTGCATCCACCCAAACTCATCAGTTCTGCTGGGGAAACCCACATTTCTGCACCTGAAATCACGATGTTTCTTGCTGTTGAACCCCCGATTTTGATTGGGAAACTCATCATTTCTCCATCGAAACTCCCAAATCCATGATATGTTTAGCTGATTTCCCAGCAAAAGCTCCCAAAAAGTGGGGGATAATCCATCATTTCTAGGTCATTTGCCAATAGAAACCTCCCGTTGTTTCCATGACTTTCCAAACAAAAACATGGTGAAACCTTCCGCCAACCTCCCACGAGTCGAACGCTGGCGGCTTGGAGGAATTCGAGGGCTCAGCCTTTGGCACCTCCGGGGTCATGGTACCCCCTGGTAAACTAACATAGCTATGGAAAATGGACCATTTATAGGTGATTTACCTGTTCAAATAGTGAGTGATTTTCCATAGTTATGTTAGTTTACCAGAGGGTAATTCTGCAAAATGTGGGGGAACAAATATCTGCGAAAACCAGGGGAAAATGTGAGAAAATCATGGATAACTCTTGAGATTCTCCTATAGATGATATTTCATCAACAAAAAATTGGGATAAAAGATCTAGAAAAAAAACAATAAATGATGGTTTTAATGGAAAATACGGATACTAAATAGTGTTTTAATGATGGGAATGGGACAATCATCGAAGCGCACCGAAACATGGCTGTGGGAAATCCCTAGCCGAACGAAGCTGGGAACGACAAGAGGAGCTGATTTAACCTCTGGTCAATAACTATTAACAATATGATTTTTTAGGTGTGGATGTGATGGGGATATAACTTATAACTTATAATCAACAAATATAACAACAATGGGATGCTGGAAAATGGATGAATCTTCTATAAACCTATGGCCATCGCGTTGGGAAACTCTTCGCAACTCCTTGGCTCCCCCAACTGGGGCATGGACCAAATGTAGCCAAAACTGCCATCATTTCTGACCCGAGGAGGGCACCTCGTCCTCCATTTTGGCGACCCGAGCCAAGGCCTGGAAACGTCGTCATGGAAAAAAACATGTTTTTTCCAAAGCAAATCGTCGATGGTGAAGATTTCTCGATGAAATATGGAAAACTCATGTTCTTTCATGGAAAATTGAAGTTATCACAAGTTCTCTATCTGCATTTTTAAAGTATGGACATATTCAATATCTATTTTTTTTAAGTATGGACATATTCAATATCTAAATGTCAATTAACAGATATTGACAGTAGGGTAGAAAACTTCTATGAAATTTTGCAAGTTGATGTTTTCTATCACAGTCTTTTTCACTAGATAGAAAATAGTTGGAAACATGTACGTCTGGAAGACCTATATAAACGTTACTCCCCGGAAGACTAGCAGCTGGAACCAGCTGAAACCCTGAGCGGGGTTTCAATCCGTCAAGGTTCACTTTTGATTTGTTCCAATGGGAATCAGTCAATTTCCCCTAGCCACCTGAAGTAGCTCAGCGCTGGGAGCTTGCGAGGGGTTTTGCCTTGGGCCCGGGCCAAACATGGTGGAAAAATGGTGGGAAAATGTGGACTTCTCCAACAAGATTGTGAGTATATGAGGTCAGCAGTCTAAATCACAAGTATGACATCCAGTACTTTGAGCCAAATCTCCAGATCCACACCAGCGTAAAAAGCGAGGCACGAAAGATCTGGTGACACCTACAACATGATAGCAGTACAGACAATACCTCAAATAAGATTTCTTCAAGTAGCCCAAAATCCCAACACCAATGGGTAACTTCCTGCTTTTATTTTAAACAAAACGCTTTTAAGTTTTCGTCATTTTGGCATCACCCCAGTCAACCACCATCCGCAATGGAGGTTGGAAACGACACATTTTGGTGCCCAAACAAATGGCTGGAAAGTGCCTGTGCCAAATCCTGCATGGATGGATGGGTCCATGGGAGACTCATCCCGGAATTGGCTGATGGGGAAAATTTACAGGAAACCAAGGGAAACTTCCTTCCCATAAATTTATAGATGAATGTAAACCAAGGGAATCATCTATATATTTACGGGATTTTAAGGGTAGAAAAGATGATTCCCTATAGACTTTCCCTTCAATCAGCGCAGTGAATCTCGGAAAGAAATCTGCTGGGAAGAGCAGGACCATTGTGGACTGCGGCGTCTTCTGGGGATATGTGGGAGGCACACTATCTGACGATGTTTTGCGGGTCCCCCATTTTTGAGGAAATCTATGATCAAGGACCTGTGCGTATATATAATATGTGTCTTGTACAACTAATTGCACACACTGAATAAATATATTCTGATATATATAATATATATATATAATATTATGGTCAGTGCCGGAATTATAGAACGGAAGTTGAGGAGGACAAAGGTACGGTTATTTACCGTACCCTGTTGTTCTATAATTCTGTTTTCCTCGGAAGGTGTGAAAAAAAACGTATCTGAATTTACTCCTAACTTTTTTCGTAGTTCTTGTCGGAGCGCTGCTGTTCTATAATTCTGTTTTCCCCCATTTTTCCCACATTTCCCATTTTCGTTCTATAATTAATGTTTCCCGGGCCCCATTCTATAATTAATTTTTCCGTCGAACGGAAAAATTAATTATAGAACGGAAAAATTAATTGTAGAATTATAGAACCTCTTCCGGGGTCCCAGAAATCCTATAAAATCACCATGAAATCTAAGAAAATCACCGTGAAATCCCATAAAATTACCATGAAATCCCATAAAATCACCATGAAATCTTATAAAATCACCATGAAATCTAAGAAAATCACCTGGTAAATGTGGGAAAAATGGGGGAAAACAGAATTATAGAACGGAAGTTGAGGAGTACGAAGGTACGGTTATTTACCGTACCCTGTTGTTCTATAATTCTGTTTTCCTCGGAAGGTAGAAAAAAAACGTATCTGAATTTACTCCTAACTTTTTTCGTCGTTCTATAATTCTTGTCGGAGCGCTGTTGTTCTATAATTCTGTTTTCCCCCATTTTTCCCACATTTCCCATTATCCTCATGTTATCCTCATTTTATCCTCGTTATCTCATCATATCCTCATTTTATCATCATTTTATCTTCATTTCCTTATCAAATCCTGATTAAATCCTCATTAAATCTTCATTTTATCCTCATTTCCTCATCAAATCCCCATTAAATCCTCATTTTATCCTCATTTTATCCGCGTTTTATTATCATTTCCTCATCAAATCCTCATTTTATCTTCATTTTATCCTCATTTTATCCTCATGTTATCCTCGTTTCCTCATCAAATCGTCATTTTATCTGCATTTTATCTTCATTTTCTCATCAAATCCTCATTAAATCCTCATTAAATCTTCATTTTCTAGATTGTATATGTACAAATATGCAGTAAATATCATGTCAGTGCCAGAAATTATAGAACGGAGCCAGGAGGACAAAAGTACGGTAAAATACCGTACCTTTGTCCTCCTCCCCGTTCTATAATTAAATTTCCCGACTCCGCTCCGAATCGGAACCCGGAGGAGGACAAAGGTACGGTATTTTACCGTACTTTTGTCCTTCTGGCTCCGTTCTATAATTCTGGCACTGACTGTATTCATATATATATATAATTATATATATACTGTATCCATATACATAACATATATAGAAGCGATCATGTGGTAGGTATGCAACGGGCTACCGGCTACCATAGAGGGTTTTCGATGAAAGATCATGGGTTTTGGCCCATCCCTGCATCATTGATAGTCTAACCTGGCAATGGAAAATTTTGGAACATCTCCAAATTACAAACGGTCTTCCCTAAAATTCGTTTGTCTGAACTTAGGGTAGCCCAAAACATCATGGTTGACCATCAATTTCCCAAGAATTCCGAGACTGAACACGGTCCAATCCAATCGCTCATTTCAAGGGCTGTTTGGCCTAGCGTCTGGCGTCTAGTGAGTTTGTGGATTCCCCAATATTTGAAGCCGCCCCTGATGATCTGTGTGGATTGATTGCCATGATTTGCTAAGTGAAGCTGTGAGTCCCCCACAACCGGTGCCTCCTCTTTGGCGGCGTTCTCCGTCTTGGAAGGAGGAGGTACCGGCGGAGCCTCCAATAGATGGAGGAGTTAAGGAACTAAATTCTAGGCTAATATACTAGTAGGCTTATATTTTTTGTGAAAAAAAAGGAGCACCTTACAAGTGTGATGTCTTATTGGGGAAATCCATGTGGTTACTAGCTGCTTGAACGCAGTTGGGTCATCCTCCAAATCCGGACGTTCGGTGGGTCATTGAGGCCTTCTGACGGCTTCATGGAGGATATGTCATATTGACCCATATTGAAGCCTTATTGATCGTCTATTGGCTCTATGAAGGAGTATATGATCCCTATTCAAGGAGGATATGTCATATCTATTGGCTCTTTAGAGGTTGCTTGTACTCTACCACAAAACAATTCCTCAATAAGGGTCTGGAAATAGGGGATACCTTCAAAATGGCAAATGTTAATAGGGGAAAAATATTGATTGACCAGTTAGGGGGTGACTACCATCTGTTCATCTAAGGTTAATACCAACCGCCATATCCATGCCGCCTTGCTGAAAGTCTGACCCGGCGCTGCTCCATTGATGCCCCAACCTACCCAGGGCATGGCGATAGGATGCGATAGGTAGGTGCTTGATGGTTTTTGAAGGGCCTTGTCTGAAAATGATGACATCTTTCCAATTTCCCCCTGAAAATGGTTTGATTTTCAGGGATTTGTCTGAAAAGTATGGGTAACCTCCAAATCCCAGGGTTTCATTTCATGTTGACCCACCTTTAAGAACTTCAAGGCCAAAAATTAGTGCTAAATCCACCATGATGTTCAATCCTGGGCTATGGTTCAAGTCATGGGGTGCCACCAAGAAAAGAAATCACCGGCGTTTGAGGGCCGCCTGAAGGGTTTGATCTCACAGGACCAACACAAATGGGGAGAACCCAGTTTATGGCTATTGAATCATGGGGAAAGTGGTTGCAAACACTGGGATATGAGGACCTTGGCCCGGTCCATTTTGAAATGCTTCCATCCTGAAAGATGAAAACATATTGACATAAATTATACATGATGCAGGTGCACTGCATTTTTCTGCGTTATTGACTGGCAAACTGGGTCGCTCTTCACACTAACGCAATCCGGTGCAAATCATTGGCACCGGATTGCGTTTGCCCATGGATTGGGCCGGGGCTGCAGCTATGGAGGAATCAGATCATTGCGACACCCCAAGACACCCTCGATTTCCAAAGTCCGAAGAGATCGTTTGGCAAGATCACTGGTCCACCGCTCGGATTGAAGCAGCTGCCAAACGTCAAGTGTTGAAGACTGTCTGGCCAATTCACAGACTGCAGGTCGACACTGCACTAGTCACTACCAATGGCCAAGCTCTGAAGACTGCTGGGCAAGCGGGCACGCTCCAGGCTCTGTATCTTGCCCAAAAGTCAGGTTTTGCAGATTGCTTGGCAAACTCACGTGTTCCAGCTTCTGGTTGAAGTCCTCGCTAAAAGTCAAGTTTTGCAAGCTGCTTGGCAAAGTTACACCGTCCATGCTCTGGTCAAAAAGCAGACCCAACGTTAAACTCCGAAGATTGGATAGAAAGGTGACACGGTCTAGGCTTTGATTGAAGCGTCGGCTCAAAGTCAAGCTTTGAAGGCTGTCAGGTAAATTCAGGTCCTCTAAGGGCTGCATGTCCCTCCCAAGGGTCAAGTGTTGAAGACCGCTCGGCCAACTCACACCTGGCCTCGGGATGAAGTCGCCCCAGAATGTCCTGCTTCGAAGTACGCAGGGCAAAGTCACACCCTCCAGGGTCTGATAAAAGCCAAAGCTCAAGTTTCGCAGGCCACTGGGAAAGGTGATACCTTCCAGGCCATGGTTGAAGTGATGACCAAAAGTCAAGCTTTGCAGGCTGCATGGCAACGAGACTTCCACCAAGCTCTGATTGAAGTCTTGCCCAAATGTCAAGTTTTGAAGGTCACTCGGGAACGTCACACCATTCAGGCTTTGGTTGAAGCGCTGGCCAAACGTCAAAGTTCGAAGACTTCTTGGCCAATTCACATGCTGCAGCCTTTGGTCAAAGAGACTATCGTTGCAACCAAGGAAAGTCAAGCTTGCTTGGCAATGTCACACCCTCCAAGCTTTTGTTGAAGCGCCAACCAAAGGTCAAACTTTGAAGGCTGTCAGGAAAGGGTGCGCCCTTCAACCTCTGGTCAAAGTCCCAGAAATGTTATCCGAGTCAGGCAAGGGGGAGGCTGTGCAAATACTCAGCGTTCAGACGTCTTTAATTTTTGTCACCCCCTCAAGTGCAAACTCCTGAGACTTTTCACGTCCTGTAAGAAAACACCATGCAGCATACAAATCGGTTTGGTCAAAGGTACATGTCGGAGTGGCAGCCTTGCCCACAATCCCTTGCTCCTTTAAGCTTTGGTGATGCAGGAATCTTAAGCTGCCATGGTACAGAGCAAACCTAGCATCATGCCAATCTGGCCTTGGGCCGCGCCGGTAGTGCGGATTGAATCCTAGATATTAACACAATGGATCTGGAATCATTGCCATTTGTTGTTGTCAACTTACTGTATATCTTTAAGGACATGTTTGGATGGAATCAACCCGTGATACTATCAGCCAGCGGTGCCAGCGGCGGAATCATGTGTGTCCCAGGGTCCAAGTTGTCGTGAGTCAAGCTCGGTTTTGATCAACAGCTCCAAACACAAGGAAGATGTGGCATTTTCGAGCATACCGCAAATCGGGTCAAAATGTCAGTGAAAAATAAACATCAAAGTCCCAAAACAGGATGGGTCAAAAGTTGTAGGCAGGGCAATCCTCAGAATTTATCACGCTCTATTCATTAAACCCCTAAAGCACGTGTTTCTAACATCAATTGATCATCAATATCATCTACCAGGGCCACCCTTTTGAGACCGTTGATGAATGAACATCCAATGGGGTATCAACTTCACCCCCTGAACCTGGCTATCCTGGCCTTGTCTGAAAATTGAGGGATCAAGAAACTAAAATGTCATGATTTATCATCGGTCCCCCAAACGCAATAACTTAATAATAGTAAATACCACATTTACAGACAGACCCACATCATATTGCATCTGGTTAATGTCCACAATGTTGGTTACTGTATTTACCCCATAAAAACCATATTACGACTCCAAGACCCCATATTTCCCACTATACCCCACAAAATCAAATAACATACCGGTATGGTTGGTTTCCCTGTCATGATTACCCCATATCCCCATTATATCCCCTCTGATATCCCATAATGTCAACCCTAAATTGATTCACTCTTATAGTTGCACCCCAACATAGTGATGTCATCTGCTTCTAATACCTCCCCCCACTTCAACAGTCCACACCACTGTATGAATCCGGGGTTATGAAGCCCGGGTTGACCTTCTACTAATCAACCAAACCAAAGGGGGTTGGAAATCCGACGTGCCTTCGTTTCCCGTCTGGCCCGTTTGGTGCCAGGGTGCCGCAGAGAGGCCTCGCGGACTGACCACCAACCATTGGTAGATATGTTGAATGTATGTAGAGTTTGTATAAGTTAACTTATCTATTTATCTAGCTATTTATCTATCTATCTGCCTACAACTGCAATACATATTATACAATGTTATACACAATGTACCGGTACATATACACATGCAGAGCACTGTGTTTATGTATTTTGTAATGTCAAGTTCGTATTAATAACCCCCCCCAGAAGGTCTAGCTATGAGAGGTTGCCACCCTCAAATCATGAGCAGCAAAACCAAACATGGAATTCAGTTTAAAGGATAAGTAAGGATTTCAATTGAAATCAACTTTCATTTGATGTTCCTTTTGAATCCAAAGGATAAGTAAAGATTTCAATCGAAATCAATTTACTTTCAAATGGTCCAGAGTGTGTTAGGGCAAACCCCGGATGCTTCTCCTGCAAAAAAAAATAAGATGTGGCTGGTTGTGGGCTGGTTGTTCCCTAACTGGGCGCTTCCCACCAGGAGGACGGATAGATGACTACCCTCTTGTACACTAACATCATAACTATGGAAAATTCCCCAAACAGAGAGGCCACACTGAGGGGTTCTTGCGGTAACAGTTAAGGGCCGTTGTTCAATCGAGGTATCGGAAGCGTCCGGCATTTTCCCTGTACATTTCTGCGCAAAATGCCTCTTGCGACATGTCCATGTGCATTTCGACTGCACAGGCTCGCACAAAACCGATGTCGCGGCGTACGCGTACGGCGTACGGCATTTTCCCTGTAAATTTCTGCGCAAATGCCTCTTGTGACATGTCCATGTGCATTTCGACTGTGCAGGCTCGCACAAAATGCTGGCCGCATCATCATCATCATCATCATCATCATTATCATCACCAACATTAATATTATTGTTATTATTATACATGACCTTTTTACTCCCCGCACACTGTTTGGGGGTCTCTTGCCGGGATAATCACAATGGAAAAACTCACTATAAATGGCAATTTAAAATAGCTATGTTAAATTACCAGAGGATAACTACACAAACTAGATCAGCTTATGACTCTGCAGCGTCCTGACTCGGTGTCGAAATTCTTCTGAAAGTGCTAGATGTTGGTGTAGGATCGGGCGATTTTTGCGTATGAATACTTTCTACTTTCTATAATCTGACTTTGTCTCCAAATGTAGGCTGGCCCCAAATGGATCAAAATGGCAAGTCTAATGAGAAAAAACAAAACTTGTATTTAATCAATCTTAAAATCCGGCTTTCCAAGATTCAGCCATATTTATCCCACAATTTCAGTTAGATTCATAATTCAAGAGATTTCAAGAGATTTGCGGGATTTACCAATTTCCAGCCCATGGGCCCCTTGGTCCCCCGCGTGTTTGCTGCGCCCCTGCCGTCTGCCCCGGCGCCGGCACCGCGGTCGGCGCCGTGGCGACGGCCGCCGGCGCTGTGGCGACGGGTGCTGCAACGGCGGGGACGACCAAGGGCGCGGCCGCATGCGGTGCCTGGAGGGTGGACTATGGGTGGTAGAAAGATAAACCATCAATCATCATCAATCCACGGTGGGTTATGAATGCTGACATTGCTGGACGAACATGATGTAACATGATCACCGATGGTGGATTAGCACTAAATTTTCCATTAGAGTACCATTAGAGTAGCATTTGTATCTTGTAGATAGTAAAAACTTGAATACTGACTATATAGATTACCTCAACATACCTCAACTACCTCAATCACTGCAGTATCTATCAAGGCTCCGCGCCTTGGGAGTTGGCGCAGCCTGAACTGCCTGGGTGAAAGGCTTCGACTTGGGACTTGGTCGAGTTGATATGGGAACCACTGATATGGCAACAACTATGGTTGTCTACCATCAACAACTGATATGGGATATAGTTGGTGAATCATATGGAATAGGTTAGCCATGAAATGGGGATCTTGTTGACATCATTTTAGATGGGTGGATTTTTGGTGGTATTCACAGGATCATGGATCGCATTTGAGGATTTTCTTTTGGTGATCAAAAGTCACCCAAGTGGGCAGGGCAAAAATGCATCCAGATATTCCGGGACAAATGATTCACTAACCTTGTATTTGGGAATACCCAAACCCTAGCCATCGATTACAGTGACGTGGTAACGATGTGGATATAATTTATCTATGAAACCTATGACTATTCAAGATTATTGGCTGGTTAGAATTTACCTCCCCACTGGTGACTATCCCTACTTGGAGGATCATCCCACTGGCGATCGATGGGATGATCCTCCAAGTAAAGTCCTGGGCAAACCAACAGGAGCACCCGTCGCTACCTGGCGATTAAAAGTGGGCATGTCTTGGGTGTCTTGAACAACTTGGCACCTTTGAATTTTAGTTGATTTTAGATTGTTTGAGATAGTTTTAGTCATCCTGATTAATGCACATCATATCGTCAAAGACTGTTCATAGAGTGTTGGATTGCCAGTTATTTTTCACGAGGCGTCTGGGCGCAGGGATTTCCTTCCCAATTTTAGGGGGGGTCTGTAAAACATCTTTCTCATCTTCACATCTTCTCTCACATCTGCTCAATTCACATCTTCTTCACATCTTCTCTCACATTGCTCATCTTTCAATCTTCTCTCCATCTGCTCATCTTCACATCTTCTCTCACACTGGCTCATCTAACATCTGTCATCTTTCACATTCTCTCTCACATCTTCTCTCAATTGCTCACCTTCACATCTGCTGTCGCACATCTTCTCTCAATATGTTCATCTTCCAATCTTCTCTCACATTTCTCCCACATCTGATTCATCGTCACAATTCTGCTCATCTTAACATCTTCTCTCACATCTTCTTCTCACATTGCTCATCTTTTCAATCTGCTCATCTCACATCTGCTCCTCTCTTCAATATTGCCTCATTGACTCTTCTCTCACATATTATCTCACATCTGACTCATTCTTCACATCTGCCTCATTGTCAATCTTCTCTCAGTATGCGCTCATCTTTCACATCTTGCTTCATTTCACATCTGCTCCTCTCTCACATCTGCTCATCTCACATCTTATCTTCATATCTTTCTCTAACATCTGCTCACCTTCCACATCTGCTTTCTTCACATTTCTTCTCTCAATCTTGCTCCTTTCACATCTTCTCTCACATCTGCTCTCAACATTGCTCATCTTCACATCTGCTCCTCTTCACATCTTCTTCACATTCTTTCTCTCCATCTGCTCATCTTCACATCTGCTCATTTCACATCTTCTCTCACACCTGCTCATCTTCACATCTTCTCTCACATCTGCTCATCTTCACATCTGCTCATGTCCACATCTTCTCTCACATCTGCTCATCTTCACATCTGCTCATCTTCACATCTGCTCCTCTTCACATCTTCTCATCTTCACATCTTCTCTCCTTTCTCTCTCCCTTTTCTCTCTCTCGCCTTCTTTATCTTTCTCTCTTTAGACCGAGGGTGGTGCCGGCGGTGAGTCACGAAACGTCAACCCTTTCGCTCGAAATGAGGGTCGATCGTCAAAAATTGACGAAAAATTGCGATTTTACTTGTCCTAAAGCAACCCTTTCGCACGAAATGAGGGTCGATCGTCAAAAATTGAGGAAAAATTGCGATTTTACTTGTGCCGGAGCAACCCTTTCGCACGAAATAAGGGTCGATCGTCAAAAATTGAGGAAAAATTGCGATTTTACTTGTGCCGGAGCAACCCTTTCGCACGAAATGAGGGTCGATCGTCAAAAATTGACGAAAAATTGCGATTTTACTTGTGCCGGAGCAACCCTTTCGCACGAAATGAGGGTCGATCGTCAAAAACTGAGGAAAAATTGCGATTTTACTTGTGCCGGAGCAACCCTTTCACACGAAATGAGGGTCGATCGTCAAAAACTGAGGAAAAATTGCGATTTTACTTGTGCTAAAGCAACCCTTTCGCACGAAATGAGGGTCGATCGTCAAAAACTGAGGAAAAATTGCGATTTTACTTGTCCCCGAGCAACCCTTTCGCACGAAATGAGGGTCGATCGGCTAAAACTGAGGAAAAAATGCGATTTTACTTGCCCCGGAGCAACCCTTTCGCACGAAATGAGGGTCGATCGTCAAAAACTGAGGAAAAATTGCGATTTTACTTGTGCCGGAGCAACCCTTTTGCACGAAATGAGGGTCGATCGGCAAAAACTGTGGAAAAATTGCGATTTTACTTGTGCCGGACTTGTCTGTGTGTAAAAGCGTCTGTGTGTAAGAGTCTCTGTGTGTAAAAGTGTTTGTGTGTAAAAGTGTTAGTGTGTAAAAGTGTTAGTGTGTAAAAGCTTCTGTGTGTAAAAGCTTCTGTATGTAAAAGCGTCTGTGTGTAAAAGACTGTGTGCACAAGCGTCTGTGTGTAAAAGCGTCTGTGTGTCAAAGCGTCTGTGTGTAAAAGCGTCTGTGTGTAAAAGCGTCTGTGTGTAAAAGCGCCTGTGTGTAAAAGTCTCTGTGTGCAAAAGCATCTGTGTGTAAAAGCGTCTGTGTGTAAAAGAGTCTGTATGTAAAAGGGTCTGTGTGTAAAGCGTCTGTGTGTAAAAGGGTCTGTGTGTAAAGCGTCTGTGTGTAAAAGTGTTTGTGTGTAAAAGCTTCTGCGTGTAAAAGCGTCTGTGTGTAAAAGCGTCTGTGTGTAAAAGCGTCTGTGTGTAAAAGCGTCTGTGTGTAAAAGCGTCTGTGTGTAAAAGCGTCTGTGTGTAAAATCGTCTGTGTGTAAAAGCTTCTGTGTGTAAAAGCGTCTGTGTGTAAAAGCGTCTGTGTGTAAAGGAGTCTGTGTGTAAAAGCGTCTGTGTGTAAAAGCGCCTGTGTGTAAAAGCGTCTGTGTGTAAAAGCGTCTGTGTGTAAAGTAAAAGCGTCTGTGTGTAAAAGCGTCTGTGTGTAAAAGCGTCTGTGTGTAAAAGTGTCTGTGTGTAAAAGCATCTGTGTAAAAACGTATGTGTGTAAAAACTTCTGTCTGTAAAAGCGTCTGTGTGTGTAAAAGCTTTGTGTGTAAAAGTGTCTGTGTAAAAGCGTCTTTGTGTAAAAGCTTCTGTGTGCAAAAACTTTTGTGTGTACAAGCGTCTGTGCGTAAAAGGGTCTGTGTGTGAAAGTGTCTGTCTGTAAAAGCTTCTGTGTGTGAAAGCTTTTGTGTGTACAAGCGTCTGTGCGTAAAAGGGTCTGTGCGTGTTTGCGATGCAAACTATTGTGTTGCACTTCTGCTATTCTGAGGAAAATTGCGATTTTACTTGTGCCGGAGCAACCCTTTTGCACGAAATGAGGGTCGATCGGCAAAAACTGTGGAAAAATTGCGATTTTACTTGTGCTGGACTTGTCTGTGTGTAAAAGCGTCTGTGTGTAAGAAAGTTCTCCTGTGGTAAAAGTGTTTGTGTGTAAAAGTGGTTGTGTGTAAGTGTTAGTGTGTAAAAGCTTCTGTGGTGTAAAGCTTCTGTGGTAAAAGCGTCTGTGTGTAAAAGACTGATGTGCACAAGCGTCGGTGTGTAAAATAAAAGCGTCTGTGTGTCAAAGAGTCTGTGTGTAAAAGGTCTGTGTGTACAGAGTCTCTGTGTGTAAAAGTGTTTGTGTGTAAAAGTGTTTGTGTGTAAAAGCGTCTGTGTGTAAAAGCGTCTGTGTGTAAAAGCGTCTGTGTGTAAAAGCGTCTGTGTGTAAAAGTGTTTGTGTGTAAAAGTGTTTGTGTGTAAAAGCCTCTGTGTGTAAAAGCGTCTGTGTGTAAAAGCGTCTGTGTGTAAAAGCGTCTGTGTGTAAAAGTGTTTGTCTGTAAAAGCGTCTGTGTGTGTGTAAAAGCTTTGTGTGTAAAAGTGTCTGTGTAAAAGCGTCTGTGTGTAAAAGCGTCTGTGTGTAAAAGCGTCTGTGTGTACAAGCGTCTGTGCGTAAAAGGGTCTGTGTGTGAAAGTATCTGTCTGTAAAAGCTTCTGTGTGTGAAAGCTTTTGTGTGTACAAGCGTCTGTGCGTAAAAGGGTCTGTGCGTGTTTGCGATGCAAACTATTGTGTTGCACTTCTGCTATTTTGTCTTAATACTCCTCTTCACTTCTCGACTGCCTATAACACATCTTTAATATATTGTTTCTAATATGGTGTCTCCATACTAACAAGAGAAGACCTGCTCCTCTACGCTCTCGGGCCATCCGTCGTCTAGTAACTATCCCTATATTATTAAACCTGGAGCAGTTGTCATGCAACGCTGTGTATATGTATAATAGTCCCAGAAGATCAGAAACCCAAAGAAGTAGATCATCAACATCAAATCCAAAAGCTCATGTAGATTTATCGAAGGAAGTTTGGAAGTCAAACTTCCGACAATATGGACAGATGAAAAGCAGAGATGGGAAGAGTCAGAGAAGATAAGAGAAGAGAAGAAGAAAGAAGATCAAAGAAGAGAAAGCCGAAAGCCAGAAGAAAGAAGATGCAGGTGAGCTAAAGGCAAGTCGCGAAACACTACGTTTTTCCAATGAATTGTGGCTCCGGAGGGTCGAAAAGTAGGCTCGCTAAAGCGGCGGGTGCGGAACCATCTTGCCAGATGAGAGATGAAAAATTGCACACCATTGTGGCGCAAAGCACATTTCGAAGTCAGAATGTACGGAACACCTCAGCTTCGGAGCACTTTTAGAAGTTGTGATGTCGGAAAATTGCACGCCGTTGTGGCGCGAAGCACATTTGCAAGTCAAAATGTACAAAATAAACCAGGCTCGCACCACTTTCGGAAGTTGAGATGTTGAAAAAGCGCAGGCCGTTGTAACACGAAGCACATTGCCCAGTCAAAATGTACAAAACACACCATGCTCGGACCACTTTTGGCGAAAAAGTGCACACCGCTGTGGCGCGAAGCACGTTTCCCAAGTCAAAAGTGTAAAAAACTGACGGGAAAGATGCATGTCGCGTGGCAGGCGCAGTACAAGAGACATGTCCATCAGAGATGTGAGGAGGTCTGGGCGCTGATTTCCTGAGAGGGGTTGCATTTTGGAGCATCAGATCTTCAAGTTTGCCAAGATGATTTTGCGTGGCAGGTGCAGCACTTCGTATGACCTGGCATCACTTTTTCGTGGCAAAAGAGAGAATTAGAACGAAAGATCGACAGATGGACACATAGAAAGAAATTCGATGGACGGCTGCATAGACAGATAGAGAGCTAAGCAGATGGATGGAAAGGCAGAGAGATGGATAGGTTGACAGATCAGTAGACAGAAAAGAAAAATAGATAGATGGATGGATGGATGGATGGATGGATAAATAGATAGATAGACAAATGGATAAGTCGGCATTCCAACCATCTTTCAGTCCATCAGTGGATTCGCTCTGCCATCCGTGATTCACAACAACCAATCTCTCCTATAGGTTTCCTATTTTTGAAACTTCCGCCACCGTCTTCTGCGGTACTACGGGTATATTTAGGACATCAATACGTGACTGTTCCCCTAGCATTATATAACTGGGTTAGGTTTGTGATATGACCAAAACATGTTGGGTCATTTATCTGGTTGGTGGTATACCTACCCCTCTGAAAAATATGAAAGTCAATGGGAAGGATGACATCCCATATACTATGGAAAATAAAAGCCATGTTTGAAACCACCAACCAGTTATGATATTTTAGGACATCATTGATTGGGTTTGGTCATGGCTGTTTGAGGTCACGTCACTAATCTGATCAACGAATACAGTAAGTGAAGTAGGTCGCATTCAAATACCAAAGGTCATGTGTTCGGTGGTGCCCCAGTTTGTTAGTTGAGTTGGTTTATAAACTACATTTCACTAGGATATATCTATAGTCAATGGGAGATATAAGTTATATTATATAAGCCAGAAACATAACTGGGGGGCACCACATTGCAGACCATCAATACAAATAATATACATGTGCTCCATATCAACTCCAAATCTCGCCACAAAACTCCCCATGTCTCCCCCAACCAACACCCATGCGCATGTTGTCTCAAAATTTGGAATCCTATTCCATCCAACGGCACGGTGTATCATGCTTCCCAGATTTTCCTCATGGCAATGCTATACTCAATTGAGGGTTCCAATTTCCTTTACCCAAAGCATCCCAAAGCCATGTCGGCCATGGATTCCGCCTGCTGTAGGAAGTTAATCATGTCGTGGTTGGGCAAGTGCGGGGGCACCATCGCCCCTCCAAAGCCTGATTGATCGGCTCATGGGGGTGATGATAAAGTGATAAAGAAATTTCACAATCCCCAAATCTCAGAATCTGATGAGAAAATTGACAGGAAACCACTAAAACAAAGGTTTCCTGAAAAATGACCCTTAAACCAGAACAATTGACCAAACAGTTGAACCGAACTTGAGAGCTACACAACAAGTACAGGATTGGCAACTTGAATTCTGCCACTACATGTGCTTCTAAAGTAAGAGCTCCCAAACATGACTAACCTTAGATTGGTCATAATATCCCTACTTACATAATATAAAATATTATATACCCTCTGGTTATTTAGCATAGCCACGGAAAATTGCATATTTATAGATGGTTTACCAATTTAAAATGGTGATTTTCCATGGCTATGCTAAATAACGAGAGGGTACACATATATATATAATATAATAATATATATATATAGTTTGGATCATGATCAAGACAAATCAAAACATGTTGAAACCGCCTCCGGTAATCCACGGTAGAACATCCCCCACCCCTCGCCATGGAGGCTCCGAACCGTGTAAGCGGCTTCGCAGCATGTTGGCCGCCTCGAGGTCCTTCTGTGTCTGCCTGGTGGGGAACGCCCGATATCTGAATCTTCCATAAAAAAACGCATGCCCAATGTCAATGGCTTTTAGTTTTCCAGGAAAACTTACAGTTTTTTTCCATGTGTTTCCCCATAAAATATCGGGGTGCAGGAGCAAATGTTCCCTTGAAGCAAGTCTGGGATCATGGCAAATGAAGGTACTAAGATGGAAAACACATGAAAACTGAAAACACATACTTTCCATAATGGATCCTATAGAATACAATAGACTAATATCTACCATACTGAACTAAGGCAACTTAGCTAAGTCATCTAAGTCATTACAGGGCACCATCTTTTCTGATGTTTGACCTTACCACCATTTTGGCTGGTAGTGCTGTTTCAAGTCTCCTTTCCCCAAAATTCAACCTGGTCAAAACTCCCCACTCAGCCCCGATTTTTTCAGGCCCCCGGCGACACAACGCCAGGACGCAAGGGGTGCATCGTGTAACGTCGCGGAACCGGCGCACCAATTAAGCGGTTGAGTTGTTAAGCAGAGCTGCGTCAACTGGGTCGTTGGGGCTATAAATCATTAAAAACCCACTGGTAATTGGAAATGTAGGGCCCTGTGATGCCGTTATGTTTACCAAGGAGTTGTGCACTATGGGATGATTAGCTTCCAAGATGAGATCTTGGAAATAAGTGGGGGTTTTCTGTCAACCTCCTCCCTGGCGGCTAAGTCTTGCCAACAAGCTATACCAGGAATCCACAGCTATTCAAACCTTGGGAAAATGATTTTAAGCCATGAGATGTACAAGGATTTGGGGGTACTTTGTCTTCAAACAAACACAGGTCACCACAAATTTCAATGAGTCTAAGCACCTTATTGCAACTTGCGGCAGCTTCAACTGAGGACGGATTGGCACGGTGAGGAAACTACAGCGCCACTGGGGACTGAGCCTTTCGTGTATGTACTGTAGCGCCAGTCCTTTTGGAATCTTTTGGAAACAAATGTCATCGACCACATCTGAATCGTCCCCTAAGTCTGAGCCAACATCGGTCATCGAGCGACTTCAAACTGGCAGAAGTATTTGGATCCGAAGCATATTCAGTGATTGGCATAATATGACCCAAGTGCCAGTTGCAAAAGGTTAAGAAACTCAATTTGAACAGGACAACCAATTCATTGAAGCATTGAAGGCTGGAACACGGGAGCCACACAACGGCTGAATGCGGACAAGCTGAAGAACGCATCACAGCCAACATCCCGCACAGCGGAAAGGTTTGGAGAAAAATGCCCTAGTTACTAGTTATGAATCATGCCATAGCATGCCACAAATGCCGATAGTTGTGCTATGAACCATTACATCTTTATACATATTTCATATAATATACATTATGGGATAATCCCATTGCAAGACTTGCCATCAGTAGGCTTATGAACCATGGCCAATCGTAGATACCCTCCAAAATATCTTTGTTTATACTAATTATCTCTACATGGGAAAAACATTAAAAAGGACATGTTAGGACATGTTAGGACCCATCCATTCCGTTTTCGCAGGAACCAGTTACGCTTCATGGGTTCCTATCCTTCAAGCAATCAGCCTTTTTGAAAACAAACGATTCGGGCCGGCTCTGGGTTCTGGGATGGTTAAAATTGCCTGGGTCAACTTCACAATCATCGCAGGGATTGAACATGAACAACACGAAACTATCAACCACTTCAATTGACGAACTGTCTCCCTTAATGATTTGTAATGTGGATAAAATAAACCATCCCCCAAATCACCATTTTCATAGGTGGTATGGTTACCATTCCCAGTCATGGGTGGTTTATGACATTGTTTTACATTAGACAATTTGTTGGTTAGTCCCTCATTCTTTTTCACCACCCCATGTGCCAAAATGACAGCAGTGAGACAAACGAAGTATACCCAGCACGTGCCAGGCTCGGCGGCCGAGTTGAGCTCTCACACACCCCTGGAGGCGTGGGACTATGGGGACTTCCATCAATGGTGATACCCCAATAGCTGGATGGATTACAATGGAAACCCCACTACAATGGATGATTCGGGGGTACCCTCACTTCAGGAAATCGCATTTTTTTCATTGGTTATTGGATGTTATTGGAGTTAAAGGTTCCCTGTATCGCAAACGATTGAACAAAAAACAAACTACCCGAACCATCCCAAACCAAGGTTTTCCCATGAAAAAGGCACCCTTGGAGAACTGGGAAAATTGAAACATGTCAAATTAGTTTGAGTGCTCGAAGTCGAAGCATCTTCTCTGTAGATACTGCGTGATCATGCGGTTTGACAGGCCAAATGGCAACTTTAATACATGAAAACGAAAAAACATGTGGAGGTTTCCTAAAATAGTGGCACCCCCAAAATCATCCAAAATTAGACCATTTCAGTATTGAAACCTATGGTTTTGGGGTACCCCGGGACCCCCATTTTAGGAAACCACCATGTTGGTTTAGGTGCACAGCACATTGCTTTCTTGATTGGCAGCTAGCCTCTGGAATTCGGCAACATCTCGTTGGTGGATCCAACCCATTCCCAGAATCATTACATCAATCGGGAATAATTAATCGGGATCATCATCACACACAGGACAGAACACACAAATACAAAACATTATTATTAAATATATACTATATAATGTAATATAATATAATATAATATAATAAAATATACTAATATTAATATAGTATAATATAATATAATAAAATAAAATATAATATAATATAATATAATATAAATTTAATATAATATCAATACAATATAATATCAATACAATGTAATATAATATAATGTAATATAATATAATATAATGTAATGTAATGTAATATAATATATAATATAATATATAATATAATATAATATAATATAATATAATATATAATATAATATATTGAAATATAATATAATATATACATATACTGATAATATATATATACAAATATAAATATATATAATGTGTTGAATAATATATGTATATAAAATAAAAAATAATATGTAATATATAATATGTACTATATAATATAATATTAAAAACATATATACATATATAGAGATGATATAGTATAATATGTATAACATAGTATAATATATATATATATAATGTAGTATATGATATATATATATATATAATATAATATATATATATACACAATATATATATAGCATATAATTCCCCACCTGCCAGGTGAGGGTTGTTAGATTTTATCAGAGTTGTTCTCCTCCTCCTCGGCTAGCTATCCTCCTGCTCTCCTCCACCACTTCCACGTCCACTGTTGCCTTGCCAACTCTTCGCCAAGCTCTTTGCCAACGTCCGAGCTCAGTGTGCACCGCTGGACCTCAACCTGGGACCTTCCCAGCTCAGTGGGCACCGCTGGACCTCAACCTGGGACCTGCCCAGCTCAGTGTGCACCGCTGGACTTCAACGGCCAGATAGAATGCCAGAAGATATGCCAGATAGAAAGCTATAAGATATGCCAGATAGAATGCCAGAAGATATGCCAGATAAAGTGCCAGAAGATATGCCAGATAGAATGCCAGATAAAATGTCAGATAAAATGCCAGAAGATATGCCAGATAAAGTGCCAGAATGTTTGCCAGATAGGATGCCAAAAAGATTTGCCAGATAATATGCCAGAAGATCTGCCAGATAGAATGCAAGATAGAATGCCGGAAGATATGCCAGAACATATGCCAGAAGATATGCCAGGTAGAATGCCAGAAGATATGCCAGATAGAATGCCAGAAGGTATGCCAGATAAAGTGCCAGAATGTTTGCCAGATAAATGCCAGAAGATTTGCCAGATAATATGCCAGAAGATATGCCAGATTGAATGCCAGATAGAATGCCAGAAGATATGCCAGAAGATATGCCAGGTAGAATGCCAGAAGATATGCCAGATAGAATGCCAGAAGATATGCCAGATAGAATGCCAGAAGGTATGGCCAGATAGAATGCCAGATAAAATGCCAGATAGAATGCCAGAAGATTTGCCAGTAACAAAATGTAAAAGTGTCATGGTGGGGATCACATGAAGTAAAGTAATTTAATATAGTATTATATATATATATATAGCATTTTGTATAATATATATATATAATATAGTATAATATATAAATATATATATGTATATAATAGTATGAACGTATAATCATAATAGTAATAATAATAAATAACAATAATATATATATATATATTATAATATATAAAATGTAATATGTATAATATATAGTATAATTTGACGCCCAAAATCAAACATCATTTGACTAACTACTCGGCACGGCCACCTTTTGAAGGCTCCGTGTGAATTGACTGAGCACCGAAAGTCAAACTTTGAAGATCACTTGGTAACACCACGTGGTGCAGGCTCTGGTTGAAATCATCCGCAAACGTCAAGCTTTGCAAACTGTCTGGCAATGCCACATTTTCGAGGCTCCTGTTGAACTCGTTGGCCAAAGTCAAGCTTTGCAGATTGGGTGGCAAAGTCGCAGAATCTAAGGATTGGTTGAATGCACCGTCAAGGGCCAAGCTTTGAAGATTCACCGGTAAGGTCATTTCTTGCAGGCTCTGTTTGAGGTTGCCGGCAAGCGTCAAGCTTATGAGACTGCTCGGAAAAGTCACACCTTTTAGATCCTTTTAGGCTATAGTGACCAGCGAGACTCAAGCTCTCAAGAGAACTTGGCAAGGTCCAATTATCCAAGCGGTTATCATACAAAATACCAAGAGTAAGCTTTCGCAGGCTACCTGGCAATGTGACATGTTTCAGGCTGTGGGAGAAACGAGCAAGACTCAAGTTTTGGAGGTATTCTGGCAAAGACACGCTGCAGAGTTTCTGTTGGAGAATTGCACCAAGAGTGAAATCAGCACCAAAAGCATCCAAAAGTCAAACTTTCACGATCTTTCCATAGGGATAAAAAATCAAAACCCTCCCGAAAAAACAAAAACTACCGAAAAGCCGAAAAGCCAAAAGGAGAAAGCTTGACCAAAAATGCCAAGGCACAGCTGCAGCCGGAACTTGGAGAAAACCAAGTTCGGCTATAAAACGAAATGGTTGCAGCAGCCGGAATCGTCTGCCAAGGGCAACCTAAAGCAGGGTTGGCGTTACAACAAAAACACCCAAACGTTTCTTGAACTCACTTTAAAGCTTTAGTCAAAAGAATCAGGTTTGTAAACAACAACTTCAAAAATGCTGCGTCCTATCTAGCCTGCAGCTGATGAAGGTCCCAGGGAGTGAGCAGCTGGAGAAGTGCTGGGGTATGAGCCAATGTCACACATTCGAAGCTCCGGTTGAACGAGTCACCAAAAGTCAACTTGGAAAGATTGCTTGGAAAGATCACGCCTTCCAGGCACTGGTTGAACCTACCAGTACGACCAAAAGTTAATGCCTGAAGACCTCTTGGCAACATCACATCGTCCAGTCAAGCCTTGAAGTCTGCTTGGTAAGTTGACTTTCTCGAGACTCTGGTTGAAATGCTCGCCAGAAGTCAAGTGCTGAAGCGCTCTCCAGGCCTTGGTTGAATCCAGCACCAAATGTCAAAGTCTTGAGACTGTCTGGAAAGCAGACATTTTCCAACGGGTCACCTTCTCAAGGCTTCGGTTAAATGCAGCCCCAAAGCTCAAGTTTTGCAAACTGCGTGGCAAAGTCACACCAACCAGGTTTTGTTTAAAGCTCGCGGTCAAAGTCAAAGATTCAAGGCACTTTGGCAAGTTGTATAGATGCTCCCCCTTCGGCAAGGTTATCCAACCGCGTCACCCCCTCAAGCGCAAACTCTTGATCAGGTCCCTCTCGTCTATGTTTTACCAAACACCATGCAGCATACAGCTCTGCTGGTAGAAAAGTGCATGACAAGGTCGCATCCTTGACTACAATGCCTTGTTCTTGCATGGTTTGACGGAGCAGTAGCTTAGAATCACCATGGTACGGCCAAGGGTGTCACAGCTGATCCTGGTTCTCCAAGGACCCGCGGTCCAAAGGCAGAAGGCAGCCACTCATGCTTTGGACGCCATCATTGCACATTAAAACGTTAAAGTATCAGTGCTTTTTAACACCTTACAACCGCTTATGAATGGCCCACATTTGATTTTTTTGGTGTGGATGAGATCTTTTGGAAATTTGATGCTGAAAACCTTGAGACTTGGGCCATCGTGCAGCTTTGACATTTCTGGGAAGGCGATTCTGGGGTGTCAGTATGGTTTCCAAACTCCGAACATGTGTTCAAAAAATGCTATTCAATGATGTTGAAATACGAGAATATGTGGGTTTGTGTGAAAATGTAGTACCCAAAAATGTCAGTATGTCGTCAGGGGCAACAACCTCACCCTAGATGGTCAGGAACCTCGTTCTTCTCATATCCCAATAGATTTGAACTACTTCCAACTGTTGAAACCAATAATGTCCTTTTGGTGAAAATAGAGGGTTTGGTATACCAATACCATCAAACAGAGCTCTAAGTAGACTCTAGGGGCTTCTGAAGATTTACCCGTCTTTTGATGTCTTTTGTCATCGGGAAAAGGACATTTTTCAGTGTTGAACCCAGGGATGGTCCCCAATCTGAGCGCCTCCGAGTTTGTTTCAGCTGGGAGGCTAAGACCTGTCTCATCTGCTGCGCAGCTGTTGCCTGACGTCCAAAAACGGTGTCATGTCATGTCCCCCATTTAAGTCGGGCAGTGGCTGGTTGGTTACTATAGTAATCATGTACTAAAAATACTAAGTGCAACCATGTTACTATAGTAACCCCCATTCATGGTTACTATGTTACTATGTTACTAAAATGTACAAGTAGTGACATAGTAACCATGCAGTTGGTCTCTCCAGATCTACAAAAATCTGATCTTTAACCAATTTCACTATGAAAAATCAGGAGGGTTCACATCATAAAGATCGATTGACAAAACACTCTTTGATTGATAAGGGGCTCACCACAGAACACTGAGATCTATTGAAAATGGTACCACCTGGGTCTTCAATGTTGACCCATTCCCAGATGTTGCCAGAAGATATACCTCAGTTGCTGGTAACACATTGCTAATTCTGGTAACATCTTAGTGAAGTAACATCCAAACATAATAAGTATATATATATATATCATTATAATTATATATATATTACGTGTATATATACATATACACATATCAACATGGGAAAATAATCAGGACGTAGACAACGATACATCATATATCAATATATATATATATATATCAATATATATATATATTTATATATATATATATATTGATACAATATTAATATATTGCCATTTAGACAATTCGATGGAAATCCCAATTGGGAATTTCCCCACGAAAGCCACATCCAAGGCTCCCCACGGTGTTGGCATCGGTGCCCCCTGTCCCTCCAGTGCCACCCGTGAGCTCACGCACAAGGCTCGGCCCAGAGGCTGCTCCGTGGGAGGAGGGAGCCTACCAGGTAGCGATGTCGGAAGCTTTACATATACTCCCTCCCAAAAGATAACAAACCCCAAGAAAAGATAACAATATAAGGCGAAATCCGACTAAAAAAGAATGACTTGACTACAACTTGACTACTTCTATTATTTTAGAGCTTCTTTAGCGAAATCCAATCCTAAGTGACAATTAATACATTGTACTTGTCTGCATCTTTTTTGGGGGGTACTATAAGTGACTGAAAATATTGCCCATTTACCCTACAGTAAACTAACATAGCTATGGAAAATGACCGTTTTTAAGAGGTAAATCATCTATAAATGGGCAATGTTCCATAGCATTCCATAGCTATGTTAGTTTGCCAGAGGGTAATGATGTTCTTGGTGATGGAACACAAGACGGCAAGGAAATGATATTCACCCCGATTCGTTTATAGGATCTTGTGTTTCTATCTTTGTGGGGAGCGTCAGTAATTATTTTTTAAGCTATGAACTGGCTCCATGTGAAACAGCTGACAGCTAGGATTGAAAGCTGTACTTTCTATTCATTTGACCTACCCTCTGGTAAACTAACATAGCTATTGAAAATGGCCATTTATAGTGGATTTACCCATTGAAAATGGTGATGTTCCATAGTTATGTTAGTTTACCAGAGGGTATTCCCTAAGGATTTCCAAGATTTTCCCGTCCGAGGTCCCAGTTGCGAAGTTGCCCAAGCCGTGGCAAGGCATGGCACCTGATCGGCTGCTCTTCTGTTTGGAGACTTCGTCATCTCCGATTTTTCCAGCTGCCTTTGGCGGTCCTGAATCTCGCGGACCCAACTAGGAGTTGAAACCTTAGTTCCATTTAGTTCCCAAACAAACATACTGTGCTCGATTTGGCTTAGGCCCACATCTGGACGCTCCGGGTATTGTAGGTGACCAACCATTGCTGAAACTATTTATGGCCATTGAGTCACTTCATGGGGAAGAAAATGACTGGTTGGTGGTTTCAACCCCTCTGAAAAATATTAGTCAGTTGGGATTGATTATTATTCATTATTATTCCATATTATGGATCATAAAAAATGTTTGAAACCACCAACCAGAATGATATTCTGATACTTCAGTGGAATTGAGAGTATGTTCAAACAAAGCCAGCTTAGATATGGATGATCTTCGAGGAAAACACCATCTCTTTTTAATTTCCCAAGTATTGGTCCACATGCCCATGTTTGATTTCATGGTCACATTCCAAAAGGGGCTTAAAACTGACGACTTCGTCCTTGTTGCGCTTCTCTACAAGCAGCTGCCTTTGCCTGATCTCAAGACTTGGCGAAAAAAAATGAATTCGAAATTTCACCAGCCCTGTTCTCCAGAACCGGAAAGTGAAAAAAGTGTGTACACTCAATTCGGTGAACTTTTAAGTATCGCATTGAAAGCAGTGCAGTGATACTTGACCCAAGTCACGTGCATAAGTTCAAGATACTTCAAGATAGTTTTAGTTTATATTATACTATTCTATACTAACCCCCAAAAAGAGACAAGGTGTTCACCATTTTAGCATTTTACCAAAATATGTTTTTTTGGGGGTGTTCCCTATACGCGTGTTTCTTAACATGGGGGATATCCAAAACCATGGGTTTTAATACTAATATGGTCTACTTTTGGATGATTTGGGGGTATCCCCATTTTAGGAAACCTCCATATCTTACTATACTTCTTACACACTTCACCAACAACCCATTGGCCATACATTGGTCATTTCCAGGGTCATTTCCAGCATCTGCCTCTGCAAATGCTCGAAACGCGCTTGTCGTTCCTCCTGGAATGTCAGATTGGCGTGTAGATGGTGGTCATAGTTTGGCGATATCCTTCGGATATGAGCGACCAAAAATACTAAGGAGCCTATTCAATAACTCCAATTTTCATGAATAGATCCACTACTGTAAGGGCTTACTACGGCTGGTTTTTTATTACGGGACTCAACTAGATCCATCTTGCCGGAGGTTGACAAACTCAGCTTGTTTGGATGGTCAAAATGCACCACATGGTCCCCTACATTCTGATCCGACGTAAGTTTCTGTTGAACATGAAAGCTTTCCGCTTCTGTGGTTGTAGATGGGTGATATTCCTGCTTGGAGTCTTTGTGCATTGGGTGCCACTGGACGAGGATGATGATGATGATGATGATGACGATGATGATGACGATGATGATGATGATGACGATGATGACGATGACCACGATGACCACGATGACGATGACGACGACGATGACGATGACGACGACGATGACGATGACGATGACGATGATGATGATGATGATGATGACGATGATGATGACGATGATGATGATGATGACGATGATGACGATGACCACGATGACCACGATGACGATGACGACGACGATGACGATGACGATGACGACGACGATGACGATGACGATGATGATGATGATGATGGTGATGGTGGTGATGATGATCATGATCATGATCATGATCATGATGATGATGATGATGATGGTGGATGGTCAAGGCTTACCAAGAGATCATTCTGATCTTGACATAGGCCGTCTTCCAACACGCAGGTAGTAAAGCCAATCAATGAAGCAAACTCGTTGCCATCTGAAGGTCTGAGCGTCAAAAAGGTGGGACTTAGGCGTTACAGTAGGTTTTACGACACGTTCATGATATTCACCTAATTTTGGTTCCAACTCCCATCCTAATTGGAGAAGAAACAACATGATAATCTAATATAATCTAATTAATTAACACATTTTCATAATAATTAATAATAATAGTTCTTTCTTAACTCGACAAAAAAAACAATATTTACCCTCTGGTAATTTAACATAACATTACATAAGATAACCATGGGACATCTATGGATGATTTATGATCATTTCCTGTACCTTTTATACAGCTGCGATTTTCCAACTTGCGCAGCAGCTCGATGCAGCTCGTCCCGCGCTCCTCACTCGGTTGCGGTGGCGGAGGCGGCGGCGCCACCTCCGACCCCGCCACGACGTCGGCGTCCGTGTCCGCCGGGGGTGGCGGCGGAGCTGCGGCCTGTGGTTTTGCTGGGAAAATCGGCCTGGGAAAACATGGTTTTGACCATGAAATGTGGGGGGTTCCTCTAAATTTTCCCGTAAACCAATCCCATGAAATAGGTTCGCATATTGGGTATGGGTCAAAATTTGGAATCCCAATGATTTAATGGTTAATAGGTCTTGAATTTTGACCCATTCCCATATGATGGGAATATAGTATTGATGAATCTGAGGATAGTACCACTACCCCAACTAACAACTGGACTCTGAAAGACTTATGTAACATTATAGTCATTTCCAGAGGAAACAGTCTGCCAACTCCCAACTTGTGGCAGGGTCATCATGTCAGTCGGGGGGATGGCAGATTCCCTGCATGTTTTGCTATTTTGCCGGATATCTAACGGAATCGAAGTTTCGAAAAAAAACAGGGAAGGTCAAACTACTGATCCAATTGTGATTCCCTTAGATTCCCTTATAGACTAGTACCATAAGTTTCCCCTTTTTGGGGGAAGTATTCCACTGGCACGACAAAGAAGTATGGAACTTGTCAACCCCTAAGTTTGCCCAAATCAAGATCCATCATAGTGAAATGTCCAGTTGCCCCGCACCTCCGGCGAAACGGAAGCTGCGGTCTGAGCGCCGGGTGTTCGGTTTTCTCGATGATTTTATGCGGAAAAAGTGGTGGAGTTCACCCGAAAATGGGCACATGGAGTTGATTTGGGTTTGAGAATAAGGCATCCCAAAAGCCAATGGATTAAATCATCACTCCAAACCCAGGTCCACTATGCATCGCCCAAAAGTGGATAAACCATGATAAACCCATGTCCATGTAAATCAATAGCCAAGCGGCAATATATCCCAAAGGATTGTAACCACTTCCTGATCGTCAATCCATGCTAATCCGAACATATCCTAACTAGACTACAAGTATCAATTTGTCATGAACTTGCTTCAAAGACCTCATTTTCCATCATTTTCCCACGTTTTCTCATGTTTCACACGCCGTTTTTGTGGCAAATCCACCTTCAAAGTCACTGGTCAGTTGCCCCACCCTACCAAGGCGCCCCGGGGCGGGAGTTCATGGGCGCAACTCTCATCACCCTCGGAAGCACTGGCCTGACGAGAGCAGATCATGGAGCTGCTCCCATGTCATAAATTGGTACAGTACCCTCTGGTAATTTAACAATATTTAACATAGCTATTGAAAATGACCATTTATAGTGGATTTTCCCATTGAAAATGGTGATTGTCCATAGCTATATATGTTAAATTACCAGAGGATATACAACACCCCTGTTTGATGTGTGTAGCAGTGTAGATCGAAATTTCATACACTCATCATAATCCCTAATACTGTACAATTAAAGAATGATTTTGATACACTTTCAAGATGAGTGGATCATGGGATATCATGGCTACATTCACCCAGCTTCTCCCCATCCCGCCCCATTTTCCCACCTCAACGGTCCCAGCGACGAAGGTTTCAAGGGAGGCAACCCCCCCGACGCCGCCGACGCAGCCGACGCGGCCGGCGCATCCGCCGCCGCCGCCGCTTCGGCCGGGGCGGGTGGAGGAGCCAGTTCCTGCGGTCGTTGACGATGTGTGGATGGATGGTGGCATCATTTTACACAGTTTTCATGGATTTACTCCTGAAATTCTTGGTAATTTATCTGTTTTATGCTGGTTGAATGAAATGGATGATTTATCCATGATATCATCATGGATGATTTAATATGATGTCACCCTGGCAATCTTAAACAACAATCTGGAACTTCGGAAATTGACAGCACGACATGGAACTACAACATCTACTGGAAATATCAGGCTTCCGTTTTGGGTGTGACTGGAAATCCGAGTGCCCTGCACCCTCCAACCTCCTCTACTGCCACCGCAGGCACCGATGGTGCCGAGGGTGCAGAGGGCTCCGATGAAGCGGCAGCCACGTCCTGGAAATTCAATGGAGCTTTTTTGGGCAAGGGATTTGGGGTGATCATTCACTACCTGAATGTGGATCCCAATCAATACATTGATCAATATTCCAATATATTCCAATATCATTGCTATTTATATATTCCAGCTATACAACTATAGGTGGACAACTCATGCTTCTGCGGAAAAAACAATCCTCGAAATCCTCTCGTTGTCGCTCCTGCACCGGCTGGGCTGCGGGGACCAAGGAAAATCGGGCAAGTTGGTATAGTACTTACCTTGCTGTTCATCAAACATAGATGGCTGGGCAATCCACTTTAATGGTGCATGTTCCATAAATATGTTCACCGCCTTCGCCCAGGGGCCCAGGGGCCCAGGGGTTGAGGATCGACTCAGCATAAAAACTGGATTTCTACCTGCTTAGGATATTAGATCCTTATTTTTTTTCTTATATTCAACAGCTTAAAGTATGAAACTAGACAACCAAGGTTTCCCTACCCAAATCTCTATCCAATGTGTTTCTGATGTAATTAATCTCCATTTTGCCTAGTGTCCATCGTAAATCAGCATGTTTCCATATTGTTCCCACCTAAATCCTCCATTTTTTCCGCTGATATCATTTGTTGGTGGTCAAATCGCCCATTTTGCGAAGCCGGACCTCTTCGGCCTGCAACGACAGCGCAATGGCACGTTCCATCTCCTCCTGGACCAGCTGAAGCTCACCAGCGCTTCAGCAGCCACGGGTCCAGTGGGAACATCCGGTACCCTCTGGTAAACTAACAGTTCGCGAACTGGAAAATCACCATGTTAAAGGTAAACCAACTATAAATCAGCCCATGTTCCATAGACCAACTATAAATCATCCCATGTTCCAATTCGCGAACTGTTAGTTTACATAGCGAGGGTAACGGTCATCCGGTGGTGAAATCGGCGGTTCTCGGCCTCTTCTCTCTGCCTCTCTCGGGCCAACTGGTCATCCGCTTTCTGAGACTCGTCCAGTGCCTTGTCAGAACCCGGGAGATGTTGCGGGATTTGGGGGGTTGTGGGGATATACTCTGCAATTTCTTGGGAAAAAAAAAGTTGGGAAATATGTTGGGAATATAAAGCCCCAATGATCCATCGGCTATCTTAGTTTCAACCCGACATTGGTGCGATGGAACTTTTGGACTCTCGCAACGAGACCACCTGAAAGGGATTCTTCATAGCGTCTGTGCTCAAAAGTCTTGGAATGCAGCATGTTCATGTGGATAAACATGTGCTTAAACTGGCTTAAAACTATAGTTTCTTCATCTTCCAAAAAATCATTTGGAGGCTTCCCAAAATGGAGGTAACCCCAAATCATCGCACTGAAACCTATGGGGATCCCCCATGCTTCAGAACCCCCCATTTCTTTATCCTGGCGATCAACCAAGACCCTGGGTGCCGACCTGAAAAAGCTGTTCCTGTGGAAGGGAGAAATGGATAAAGGATGATAAAGGTTTCAGGGGAGCTCAGGTTTCTTTCAAAAATAATGACCCTATAAGAATAGATCGAAAAGTGGTGTGAGTTTGGGGTACCGAAGTTTGGGACACATAATCACAGCTACTAGTAGGAGGCCTTCAATAATTTCTGGATCTTTTTCTTCTCTCCTGTCCTCCAAGTAGTCATGTGAGGGTGACTTCACCCAGATTTTGCTGTTCATAACAAATTGCAGTGATTCCTGCCACTGGACAGACTGGACAAATACAAATACACAGGTTGGAGGCCAAGTAGAAAATACATGAACAAATAAAAGCATAAAACGATAGTAGTCTGCCTCAATTTCCAGTTGAATGTGTAAAATCAATCGTTCATCAGGGGTTGGCAAATAATTATATATCCTAATTGAACATCACCCAGCCATTTATCCACCTTTGCTTGATGTCGTCCATGCCGAGTGGAGTTTCAATTTCTTTTTCCGAGAGGAAAAGTTCATCAAGTTGGCGGCTTATTTGCAAGACCCCCTGGACATCGAAGAAATCGATAGGTGCGGCAATTTCCCACTGCTCTCTTGGGGGAGGCTCAGCTCCTTGTTGGAAATAAGGAGTGCCATCATCTGTCTCGAGGGCGTCAAAATAGACCGATTGGTCACTGTCCACTGACACATCCTCGCCTGTTTTATCTGGGATGGTTGGTTCTGTTGGTTCGATGTCTGTATCTGAGTCGTCAGGGTCAGGCGACGCCAATGAAATGAACCTGTTTGATGCCATGAGCTGTTGTAGCATGCTGGCGCAGGCTTGACCCTGAACAACCGGTACCCGGGTGTCAGGTTACAAGTGACCAGCCGGGACTAGTGGATACTATCTGGGCAGTGAGTGCAAAATGTGTCAAATGGATTGGCAAGGCTAGGGAAACCCCGAACACCCGGTACCCGGGGTCGGGGTTCCTCGTTGCGGGGCCAATTCGATGGAAGTTGAAAAAGAGAACCAAAACAATCAAGGTTTGTCTATTACCTTGGTGTGCGAATTGATGTCTGATGGCTGACCTAGCTATAAGAACTAGTGGAGCCACAAAAGCTGCAGTGCAAACAATGTACCCAGTTACAGTGTTCATGCAACCTTCTTTGCTCAAAGTAGAGATTAGTTCTACTGGAGCTGAGATGACTGAAGACGACAGGACCTGGGACACACACCTAACCAAGACAGCAAGTAAAACCAACTCCCCATAAATCCCCTTACTCTGGCTTGCGGGGGTCAAACTTAAGTGGGTACTCTCCCATAAGTTAAGTTTGGGGGGTATCACCCTGGCACGCAGCTGCTTTTCTCTTGGCGCATCTGTGGGGTAGGCGGCGACAGACATGGCACTGATCAGGTGGTTTCACACAGTCAGGTGCACTCAATGCTAGCTGGCTGCAAGTTTGATCAGTCAATAATTTCCATATCTGCTACAGGCGAAGCTTGCGGAGTACCTGGTGCCTGGCCATCTTGCATTCTTTTGAGGCGCTTCTTGATACGCGTCAGATGCTCGCGAGCACTGGCTAGCCGCGTTTCATGAAAGGCTACTCTTTCACAGGCTGCCTTCTCCATGTTCTGTAATGTCGGGATGTCCGCTGCGGCGAGGTCAACGTCCTGTCTGGATTCACTGGCGGGCTCAGGGCTGCTAGCAACAACAGTGTCAGTGGCTTGCGTCTCTGGCGATTCATTTGGTGTGTCATTTGGTGTGTCAGCAGGCGACGATTCTTCTGTCGGTGTGTCGTTGTCGACAGCGGATTGCTCCTTTTGAGGTTGCTGCTGTTCTTCATCTTTGTTGTGCGTTGCAGATTGAGAGTCGGAGGATAACATCCATTTACGGGATACTGTACCATCTCCAACACATACATGAAAGTGATGTTCAACATCAAACTGGGATGTTTACCGAACTTTCTTCATTTCCAGGCCAATCTCCATCTCCGAAATGGTGAAACTCATCAATTGCCAATGGACTTTTTTTTTGGGGGGTTCCCGCAATGGAGGCACCCCTAAATCATCCATTTATTAGGAGTTTCCATTTATAAACAGGGGTTGGTAACTGTCCCATTTTGGGAATATTGGACATCACCTTATAGTAGCCATTATAGACCATATACCTAATGGTTGGGTGATGTTCAATGGGGACATTTAATGACCCATGATAAACCATCCAGCTATTGGGGTATCCCCATTGATAAAAATCCACAGGTTGCCACCGCTTCCGAGCTGAATCGTCCTCATACATCTTCCACTCGTCCGCCACGGCAGAACCAACCCCAGCCAGTCCCAGGTCCTAGGCGATGGCCAGTCCGTAAAATAGTTGGTATGTGTTTTTCATGGGAAATCCCAATCTAAAATGGATGATTGGTTGATAATTGGTTGATCAAATAGTTGGTTAACTTAATTGGTTAAGAATATAGTTGGTAATCTAAAATGGATGATGAAATGGGGTACTCCCATTTTAGGAAACCTGAGGTCTGTCCCTAAAACTTAGCTTCGAATTGGCTCCTCCTCCTCTTCAATCATTGTCTCATAGAAGTCGTCCTGCGAGGCTGGAAAGGATGGCCGAAAAAACAGCTCGGGTAGGAATCGTCAGATCATTCGCAAATCTCAAATGCATTCCTTGAAACACCATCCACCAAGCATAAAATCATTGACATGTGAACTGCAAATCCTTCAAATCGTTGGGTTGGAATACATGATATTGTGTGTAAGAGATAGATGTTTCGCAACATACATATGTTGTATGAGTAAAATGTTCATTCTTGTTACACATTGTTCATTCATTGAGACATGATTCTTCATCGAATTCGTCATCGAAGATGGAAGGATCCGAGGACCTAAAGGGTGTCTCAGGTTAGTTCGATGATTTTTCCCAGCCTCATTTGGTTCCTGGGATCTCATGGGAATTCCATGGGAATTCCCATCATTTATAGATAATCGTCCCATGAAAACGTACATTTTCCTATATTAGGGAAGATGTTTATCTATAAATGATGGGAACATCTGAAAATCATGGGGAAAAATTATGATAAACCATGATTTTCCCATGATTTTCAGATGTTCCCATCATTTTCCGATATTTTTCCCATGATTTTCTCATTAAAACCTCCATGACTCCAGGAGTTTCCCCCTACGGGAGGCAAAATTCCCCCCGTCTCTGGAAAAATCCTCAGTGTGACCGGCATCCACACGCCTTTGAGCCTGGCATCCAAAATCATCAGCAATTCATGGTTCAGAGTGTTTTTTTTAAAGGATTGCTGAAATAACCATTAATGCCTAATGGTGAATTTCCAATGATTAGTGGTTCATATGTTTTAAAAGTTTCATTGATTTGTTTAATGAATCATGGTTAAACACCACCACAATTCACCTTTTTGTTCATCATTCAGAACGAAATTAGCAACCATCAATACCCATTAACAACCATTAATAACGATTAAGCATGAGAGACCATGAGAAACCTTAGCCATTTACCATGAGAAACCTTAACCATTGCTGGCCACGCGTAACTTGGAAACAGCACCGCCTCCCGGTAGAGATCGGCATTTCGCTTCGTCATCATCGCCTATCGGCGGCAGGTGATGAGCACAAAAACCGAGGTATGGTAGGTATGGTATGGGGTTCCACATTCAATAGGTGGATCATCCATCAGTTGATCATGATGTATACATATATATGTATATATATTGATGATATAGGTTTATTTCATCTAAAGATATCTGCTGATGAGTTAAAAAAATGCTGATACCAGTGAGATGGATGCATCTGAAAACCAGGCAAGTATAGCCCCATTAAATAGCCTTTTGACAAAAACAGGGAACATGATGTTCTGAACCACTATTTTCAGACAAACTAATATATTGTGAACATTGTAGAGATCTAGAATCTACACAAGATCTCTTGGTAATATCCTCATGGGTTTGATGGGAACAGGGCTGTGCTTTTGAATATGCTTTTGATGTTGTGATGTGGATGTTGCCGCCGGTCTTACGTGTAGTTCTCGTGAAAACCGGAGTATTGTTAGTGGAAGGAGGTTACCCGACAAGAATCCAACAGATCAACCAGTGGGAAAAGGCCCTGAGGGGGAATGGGTTTTAGTTGACAAACCCACTGATCTCATCATGTTGTTTGATCAGTGGAAAAATTTCAGGACCTCAAAATAGAGGTACTGTATCATATTTTAGGCCATTTTTGGGGGGAATCTTCCCTTACATAGCCCTGAAATTTGCGCCTGGCCTTGTATAAGGTATATAGAATTATATAAATACCCCAATTTCACTGAACTAGATCCCTGCCGGTATGGACCAGTCTGACCAGTCCAATCCCCCACTAATGCTGCAAGTCTGCACATATACAAATTAAAAACCAACACGTACAGATTATGTCATGTTCACAAACAAGAAAACACACATCGTGTGTGTATATATATATAATTTACTAAAATTTGCTTATTTAGTTATTTGTTTATTTTATATATATATATGTATTACAATAATTCCCTGACCTGAAATACGGTTATATTTTGGGATAGTTACCCCAATCCTAAGCGTCATTCCAGTGAGAACAGTGAGGTCGTCCCTGCCCTCTTTCATCACCCATTCACTCACCATAATCTGGCATCAAACCCGTGAAAATCACCCGTTTTCTTGGCTAAACCCCATGAATTCCCAGTTAAATCCCATGAAATTCGACGAAAATCACATGAAAATCATCAGTTTTCATAGCCACGTCACAACCAAAAATCCCGCCGCCCACCTTGAAGATCAGAAAGTCATCCGCGCTCAGAATTTGCTCCACCAGGACCCGGTGCAATGTGGGACTGGGCGCAGGCGCAGGCGATGGAATCGAAATAGCTATATAACCCTTTGATGTAACATTGATGATGATGATATTGATGATGATGATGATGATGATTCTGATGAAATGTTTCGATGGAAATCTTCGACTTTTGGGGATGCCAAAAAAACTCAGAAGTTGTGTCTCTCGGCGCCAGGTGGCTTGGTGGATAAGCCTCGCTGGCAAAACTGCTCGAACCTCGGAGAACTTCCGCGGAGCTGGTTATGTTATCCCCATGGACAGTGTCTGGATTTACCCTCTGGTAAACATACAAAAAACGATGGACATGTTTAATGGGTAAATCCACAATTTCTATGGCCATGTTCAATAGCAAACTGTTAGTTTACGAGAGGGTAAGTGATGGTGTCAAGATGGGGACACAACCAGCAAAAAGATCCAAATAGCGAGATTTCATGGTTTAAATGTTCCGAATGTAGGAATCATCCCATGGACAGTTTAATGAACCGAGAATAATCAAGCAATGTTTGCCAACTGGGCAGCTTCTTAATTGAGAAATCATCACGTTCAGAGTCTGAATATCAGATGGGTGTATGGTAGCATATCTGTCAAATTAGATTGGACCAGCACCCATTTTGGAACAGAAAAAACACCTGAAGCAAACCCAGTTATCCCCACTATATCCCCATTGTTATATTCCCATTAATTATGTTCTTATCAAAGGTATCCCCATGAAATTCCCAATTATCGCTTGTTAAAGAGAAACAGGGGGGAAAACAACCAATTAACCTCCCATGTCCCAGAGATCATTACAAGCCGCTACTTTTGTGCTCGCGACTTGAGCCAAGGTAATTGCATGGGCTACTATGTTGGACCCACTGGTTAAAAGGGGAACAACAATTCCTATGCTATACAAGGGCTCTACCTACAGCTAACGCTTCTAGCTACAGGTTGTCATTAAGATTGTGATGACTGTACAATCTATTAGAGTGTTGGTGTCATAGCTACAGTATGGAGTGAGCAAATACTAGTATATACAGTGGTGGTATAGGGGTCGTAATATTTCTACTCCCCCCTACCCTATCCTACGCTGGCAACTAGTGTACAGGTTAGGGCGCTAGGAAGCTGCCCCTCCCCTGGATTTAAGCTCACTACCTAAATCTACGCGGATGCCAAGCAAGCGCAGTGCCGGGGCCCACTTTTGGGGTGGCAACGCCTTAGTAAAAATGTCGGCAGCTTGATGGTCGGTTTGGCAATATTCAAGCTCTGCAGAGTCGTCTCGAAAGACTTCTGAAAGGCCGGACAGATTTACTTTATGGGTGCGAGTGATATGCCTAAGCTTAGGGGAATAACCTTTACGTACTACCAGGATGGTAGCTTGGTTATCTTCTAAAACTCTAAGCGTCACTGTGCGCCCTAGGAGAAGCTCCCAGAGTTGCAGGGCCGGTAGGCCTTCTTGGTAAAGGGAATAAGCCAATGAAACCACTTCAGATTCTGTTGTAGAACGGGATGTGGATGTTTGGCGTTTGCTAACCCACGCAAGAGGGAAGAAGGAGTTAGGCCCATATAGAACTAAATACCCACCGGATGTGGATTTTCCACTAAGACGATCACCGGCGAAGTCTGCGTCAACGTATAAACGTAACTCAAGATCTTCGGGATTATCTTTGATGGTACCCACTAGACGGTATTGGGGTGTAGAGTCTATGTATTGGATGAGTCTTAACAACCTCTTATCGTCCCCCCTGGACCAAGACTGCACTTTAGTGGCTAAATCGTTGATGGGTTTTATTATGTCAGGTCTGGACAGCCGACCAAGCCACAACGCCTTCATAAGAATGCGGCATGCATTGGGTGCCAGTTCACCTTTAGCCTCTTCATCTTCAACAGAGACAGAACCATCAGGTACAAAAGGAGTGGCAGCATGCTTCAAACTTTTGGTGTTGGTGATGGACTTATAAAGATCAACTGTTTGGTGTGCATAATCTAGCATGTCAAAGACTAAGGCTTCTTGTGCGCGAAACGCAGCACATTCCTCGGAACCCTCGGTTTTGGGTAATGGCATTGCTAGATGATTGCGACCTAAAATTCGGTATATTGGTTCAGGTGGTTCAATATCCACAACAGATGTCAGCTTTGCCCAGAAGGCATCATGTTGGTCAGTGGGACCAGCAAGCGTGAGATCATCTACATAGGTAGAAAGCAACAACTTAGTATCTGGGAAAAAGAAGTTACCAGGGTATTCAGGTACCTCTTGGCCACCTAGGTTGCGGATAATTTTCTTTAAGTGCTGCTCCCAAAGGCCACCGGCATCAGGATGACCATATAAGGCTTTAACTAGGAGGACTACAGGTTTAACAAACTTATCTCGCCAATGTTTTGGTCTTAGCTCAGGTGGGAGTTCTATCCATGTCTTGTATTTTGAAGACAGGAGTGCTTGAACGTAAGCCTTTACAGCATCAGCTGCGGATGAGCTATTACCTGGCAGGGAACCGTATGCCAAACATGCATTCAAACCTTGGACCGAAGTCGGGTTTGCCCCTAGCTCCTGGTAGACCGCTGCAGCGCCATGTTCGTCCTTTGCGCAGTCGCCCCTATAGACGATCCTGCCCTTCATCTTTTGCAGGTGCTGCGCAAGCTCGAAGAATTTAATGGACGCTATGGTCATGAGTTGCCCGAAATGAACGGACACTCCTGTGCGCTTGGCCTCGGCGCGAACATCTTCCTTTTCCCGAACGGAATCAAGTGACCACGTTCCTGCCTTGATCAGGCCATCGGCCTCGGCCTTAACGGCATCAAGGGCTTGGGGGTTGGATAACATCTCGGCCCGGGAAAGCAACTTAGTTACCATAGCTTGAACCTCTTTGGAAGGTTCATTGTTATCTTCATGCCCGAAGGCTTGTGACAACAAACGCTCATGGTCTAGAAGCTCCGACACTAAGCAGTTTACTGTTGGATCTGTTTCAATGGCAACTGCAAGATCCTCAAAACCAGCTAGTGGGGACACATGTTTAAGATGTTGTTCAACTTCGCGGTGCTCTTGAGGTTCGGTTGAGAGTGGAGCGCATGGCATTGCGGGAGCATGTTGTTGAGAACACTTAGCAGGGTACAGCGCTTGGGTAATCAAAAATGCCATCTCTGCGGGATACATAGCTGATCGCGCCGTTTCCGAACCTTCACACTTTTCGTGTGGCTGTTCACAACTGCACTTTTTATCCTTAAAAACATCTACTATTCTTTGGGAAGTGGTTCGGACTCTCCAAGGCTTTTTGATGGGAACACCTTTCTTGGACTTAAGACCTACTGCACAACCATCGAAATCAACTTCCATAAACTCAGGGTGAGAATTAAAGAAAGCTACGACATCTGGTCTCTTCCAGCCAGTTGAGGGACGTGGCCATTCAAAAGAAACAGCGCCTCCTAGTTTCAAAACTAATTCTGCCCTTTTGGTAAAGCTTTTGAAAAGTCGTTTCGATTCTCGGAGTTGGAGCGCTAACCTTTTCATGTAAGCAGCTCCTCCCCTCCGTCTATTGATATACTGCCAAGGAGAACCAGACGTGCATGGTATGGACGACCAAAGGTTAGGTGGTGCAACTTTTGCGGCTTCACCTATTTGATAATCAAGTTGGGAACATTGATTCTCATCACTTAAGTCTATCCTTTCCTTGCTTAACCCAATGTGATTTATATTGCATTGATCGCTTGTCAACCCAAGCTGTGAGTTGAGGGAACATGCAAACTCAAACAGTGTTGATCTCTCACTGGGCCTCTGGCTTTTCTTCAAGGCACGTCGTTTACGACGGTTATTGTTATTCTTAGGAGGCTGATTGACTACGGGGCATGCAGGCACGGGCTGTGCACCGAACACTGGCAAAGAATCCCTACTTAGCTCAGCACGGCTGGGAGCGGTCTGTGGTAAGGTGGCAGCACCAGAGACGCTATAAGGAACAGCAATTGTGATTTCACCTTCATCATCAAATACACTGTCCTCCAGTGGTGGTCCCACGGGGGCATCCTCAAGCGCACTAGGAACCTCGCTCGGAGGTTCTGCAACTACCGACTCTGATATGGGTTTTGACTTGGCTTCCAGCTCCTTTTCTTCATCAACTAGTTTCTGGAACCGTTTGCGGCACTCTGCATTATGGTACCGAGTCTTATTCTTACACCCTGTACAACCGGGAGTCTCCTTAAACTTTATGATGCGGTCTAAGGTGATATAAACCGATCTAGGTTTGGGACCGGGTGTAGATGGGGAAGCTAAACCGCCGTCTGGTGGAAACGGAACATTTTGCAGGGCTATTTCAGGAAGTTTAACATCATCGGGATCATCCCCCCTGATCAAGGCCTGATGCTTCGAAAAACCAACGGGAAAATAGGCATCACCATCCGGAAGGTATAGTTCAGGCTCGGGTACATCGGAAACACTTGAAGCACCTCTAGTTCGAAACTCTTGATAATCTAATATCCGAACAACATATCTGTACCGAAAACCAGAATCGATTCGCCAACCAAGAAACAAACCAGGAGCCATGTTGGGTTCTAAGGTCCTTTTCGTTGGATGCTTCTTGCGATAATACACAAGTTGACCAAAACACAAACGCTTACCATCAAACTTTTCACGTGTAAGAGCTTCCCATTGGGTCTTTTCAGGGTCCACAATAGAAGGTCTATCAAAAGTCATGGAAAGACATGCGTATGGGTAACTATAAGTGTGATACTCATAGGGCAAACCAGATTGTAAATGAACAACCCTGCAACACTCTTTCTCTTCCCGGATGTCGCGCTCTAGGAGAGCGTTGTGCGGCCAACGGTTGGGAAGGGACGTCTCAGGAACGAAGCCGACCTGATGGGCAGCCTGCTCCAATTCCTGTGCTTCGTCCATTTTGATAAGTGTATGGGTTGCAGGTTCATTGGCTTTCAATCCCACGAAATGTCGAAAGTTCTTGGCATGTGATTCAACATCTCTCTTTGAAAGGGGATATGCTATTCGTGCACCAGAGTAAAGGTCCCTTACCACATGGTGTGTTTTAACCCCTCCTATCCCCGTTCCAAAATGCTCAGACCCTTTTGCAAGGATAACATCATCAGTGGCCAATTGCTCAAAAGGTTGTTTTGGTGGATCAATCTTGTCATCGGACTTACCATCCTTAACATGAGAGACCCGCATTGCAGTATCCTTAGCAATATGGCATAATGGGCAATATGGATTTTTGGGGTAGTGAGTCAAAAGATGCTCTAAG